GCTGCGCTCAAACAAAATATTTCATACAACTGCATAATGGCTCACGATCCCAATATTTGATAGAGGACAAGTTCAAAGTTTACAATCTTCCAGAAATGAGGCTCAAACCAGCCCTTCCTCACAGTAGAGCTTTGTCCTTGATCAAACGGGAATGGATATCGACGGCTGTCCCGAAATTCGACATGACAGATGGGTGATTACGGACGCCAACCGAACAAACGACACAATCAGAAGAAGCACTAACAGGATCACTATACAGATATTGTGTCACCTGTCCGGGGGCTTACCGTAACGCTAACGGCACTGCCTCATGAATATGTAGGCTTCCCTTGGCAGATCAAGGTCTGTCCAGCTGACCGTATCTATCTACCTAGATGTCTTGCTTTGCGTGTATTCCTCCTTTCAAAGGTTAACTTTTAATTGGTGAGTCCATATTATTTGTTTGGAGACAACAGTTTAAAAAACACGATTCAATCGTAAATAGTGATCAGTGGTAACTTTTGGACACAATTGAATGTCTTGGTGTTTTTATGGTTGTGTCTAAAAGTAATAAAATAAAAATACGAGTCCTTTGAAAGCGTTTGGTGTAGAATGAGGTATTATATCATCTCAGAATTCTGAGATACACTGATACCAACTTCAATCAAGTTCGTTATACTTTCCTTCAACTCGTATTTGGCGGACTGGACTGTTCAGAATATTATCCAGTGTTCTTACTGGTTCTTACTAAACTGAAATACAGGTTTAGTAAGGATTATATTTTGTAATCTAGTAACTATAGTACTTTAGAAATATTAATACATATCAGGAATGTCCATTCCACCAAGTTCGTATGCCCCCGTCTCCTAAGAAATGCTATTGCTCCTCTCTTCCTTGTATGCTTCATAATTTCCTCTTTTTTCCTTTTTTAAGTTCAGTCCATAATAGAAAACCACAAAAATATTCCTCCAAAAATTCATAACCCCGTCAAAGTGTGCCACCAAAAATTTTGATTGCGTAACTGGCCAAGTTTAAAAACAGCCGGAAAAGTTTGTTTTAAAAAATTATTTTCAAATTGATTGATTTATAATCTCCTCGTGGAAGAATATGGCAAAGTAACAAAACATAACCATCAGTCATTTTTTTAAATAACTAAGTATTTCACCAACTCTATCTACGAAGAAAGACATGATGTCTATGAGAAAATAATGAGTCTATGTGAACAATTCCCTTCTCACAAGTATATTTCCTTTTTATTAAAAACGTAATGGCAATAAATTGAGGGTGTATATTCCTATGTATAAGATATACATGAAATATGTTTTTATAATAGGTGAATAGAATGCACAACCACATGGGACCAGAACGGTACCCGCCATAAATAAGAACTGACCATTGTAAAGAAAGCCAGCCAGTTAATCCTTATTACCTCTTCAACCCGTTATCCATTTCTCCTGTCTCTTCGTCTTCTGCCTTTTTTTTTTTTCATTCCTTCTTCTTTTCTATTGTCTATTTCTTTTCTACGTCTTCCTTTTCATTCCCGCCCTCTTCCCTTTCCTTCTCTTCACAGTCGTTATTCACTTAATCGGCTGGCCGCCATGAAATCGGACAAGTCCAATGGGAAGCCGTTGCGGTTCGTCGCAGAATACCCGGAGCCTTTGTTGCCCAACTCAAAAGGGTTTATACATCGGAATCCATTTGCGGAAAACTGCATACCGTTTGTAAGTTAATTCGTTGGTGTTTGGTCTTGCAATTGGTTAAAAACAAAACGTGATACCTTTATTTAATCTACCTGGTATGTACCTACCTTTTTTTTTAATACACCACACTTCATTTTATGACCTTCAGACGTAATTAGTAAAGTAATAGTCTTTTTTATACATTGAAAAAAAAAATTTCCTCTCTCTTTTCATACTTCTATCCACACCTGTCATAATCTTGACAATACGCAGATATGATCTCATTGTAAAGAAAATTGGCATTTTAGGCATGTGGGAGATTAATACCTAGCAGTATCTCTTTCTGGTCTTGGTCTACTTCATAATTTAGGAAAGGAGATCTCTCATCCAGCTCCGCTTTAGTCGTCTCCTGATGGGCATGTCAGCTGTGGCCATGTCATTGATAAGTCCGTGTAGTTTAAGATGAAATCGGGAGTAGACAGTACGTATGTGTTGGTCGATAGTCGGTTGTTCTAAGTCGGTATGTAAAGTAATATAATATTTTAATATTATAAAGTACTATAAATATTTTAGTTCAATTAATTTAAGTAACTTTGCTATAAATTATTATAAACTACTATATATGTATATATAAACTTAATATAATTTATTTTCGAAATTAACACCACGTTCCGGTATCAAATTCCTTTCATTGGAGAATCTAATAAAACATTTCCTGCCAATACTCAATATTTTCCAATTCTTAATTTATTTATCTAGTATGCGTTATTTGGTAGCTGCTCTTAACAATTAACAAATACGTGCATAGCTATTTATTAAAAAAAATACTAGGATGTTAAATTATTTAATGTTTTTGGAATTACATATCTATTAGATCTAATTCAATTAAATTCACAGTTTTTTAATATTATATCATAAGTTTTTATTAACATCCTTAAACAAATTATATTTTTAGATCTGATTGAGATGATTAATTATAGAAGTAACAGGCTTCAAGCAATTAATTAAATACCTACCGATATTTGTAAATAAATATATGTGTTTGCTCTATGTATCTTCCTTTCTAAAAAAAATATATATATATCAGTTTTGTCCTTAACATATAGATACATAGTTCCATCTACGGATTGCTGGAAATATTTAATTAAATATAATTATAACCTTTATTCAATAATTAAATTAACCTATAATTCCAATTAAAGCCTTGCAATCAACCGTAATATTCAAAAACCTGTAAATAATTCTAATGTAAAAACGAAAGTAAAAACATTAATTATACGAATCAAAAATAAAAACCAAGGTGTCGTAGACATTGGGCTAAGACGCAACCTTGGAAGAACGGTTTGTTAAATGTCCCGACGAAGAGTTGGAGACTGGGAGCGACCAGGAAAAAAAACTTCTCTAAGCGAGGGAGATGTAGAAGGTTCACATGAAGGAAGGTGAAGAAGAGGAACCAAGAAAGGCGGAGAATGAGGCGTGGATGATCGATAAAAATGAGGATAAAAGGTGACGGTCCCCAGGCAGGCGAGTCACAAAGGAAAGATATTTCCCGGGACCACGGGCTCTTGTCTGTGCCGTATCCTAGCTGTCGAGCATCACCAAATGCTCACTCATTAAACAGACCATTAATAATAAGCGGATACAACTGAGGAAATGAAAATCGTTATTACAATCTTTGAATAGTACTATACTAGCCAATCAGTCATTTATTGTTAATATAATTCGATATGATAAGAATCAGTCGCTCTTGCTGGGTTGCTGAATTTATAACATGGAATGAATGGTTGTTATTAATCATTGAACAATATCTGATAAACTCTTGTTCATTTTAAATAAAATAAAATCATAGAGAGAATTGGCATACTTAGAAATTCTGAACTATATCTGAAAGTAGCTATATCAAATCGGAAACAATTGGCTATTGTCTGGTTCTTAGATGACCTCAATATTTTTTTTTGTTGTTTATTATGCGTGGATTATAAGCAGGCAAAAAAGCCAAACTACAGCACAATTTATGTCGTTATTTTCCACTTAAGTGGCTTTGTGTTCATAATGCAGGTTACAAAGGATGAACTAAAATCGTGGAGTCCGGTAAAATTTGCATGTAAGGTTGACCAAATAAATAAACTGTATTTCTTCGCTTGGCTCTGGCTTAAATCGGAATATATGCACAATAAAATAAAATAGAGTAAAAATACTTTTGCCTTGCAACTATTTAGAAATGTATTAAAATATTGTAACGATACTTCTTATCTGATCCATCTATAAATTCATGATACCACAATATTTCAATGCAGGTTGAACCATGATAAAATTTTATATAGAAAAAAAAATAGATAAAATTACTTTAATTAAAATCGATTTGTGTATTAACTATTGTCATTCAAAAATTCGGTGTTATTAAGTTGTGTTTTCTCATTCTTCAAAATCATTTGAATCTATAAATTTATTTTATTATTGGAAGTTTGTTTTTCTATCATAAAATTATGTCATAAAAGTCTCAATATACTCTTGCAAGTGTTCAGGACTTGTTCATATGTACATATAATATTTCTCAGCTGTTTCCTTAATATTTCGGTACATCTTAACACCCGAGGATCGTTTAAAAGATTTTATATATATAAATTTAAAAAAATAGGTTTGAAACTCATTTGTTTGTAAAGCTCCTCTTTTGCATCAACTCAATCGGTTTCAAAGAGTACAATACTGGATTAATATACACGTTTACGAATAGCTGGATTTTATTGATAAACCGAAGAGATGTTTTACTTTAGAACAAGAAAATTACTAAATAAGTAGATAACATAGTTGTAATGTATACGATGTGAAAGTATGAAGCATCGCCAGTTTGTTAACATACACCTAATCGTTATATGAATAAAAATGTTTTCCTAATTTCACTTAAACTCCGAATGTATTAGGGAGGAGGAATCCCCAATTCTCAAACAGATATGCCATTTTTCTTTATGTTCTCAACTCATTAATTTAAAGATACGAAATACTAAATTTAATTTTCCGCTTGTATTTTAATAATATTAATATTATTATATTTTAATATTACTAATGATTAATAATCCATATATAATTTAAAAATATGATCTTGAAACACCTCGATATACACATATAAAAATTCTAAGAAAAAAAAGGTTTATACTTTAATTAGTATAATTTAGGCAAATTGCATTAGTCAAAACGTCTCAAATCTCAAATTTGGTGAATAGCAGAAATTATTACAACCCTCTACCAATAATCCGTCGTTCTTTTTTAATTTGTGTGAATGAGCATTTTAAAGGATTAATTATAATAAATATAAATTAATAAAAACGATGCCGTTTATTACAGGACGAGTGGCGTTCGAGAAGTTGACAGAATTGGACTACCGGGGAAACACCTACTACACCATCAAGAATCTCTCCCTATATGAATGTCAAGGGTGGTGCAGGGAGGAACCCGATTGTCAGGCGGCCTCATACAGGTATTCATCATTATCATATTTTATGTGTTTCTTTTTCTTTTTTTTATAAAAAAAAATCATAAAAATAAAAATATTTTACCAAACCATGAATACATAAATTGCCATATAAAGCTTAACATGCATATGAATTCTTCTCCTATCCTACCAAAAACTAAAGATATTTATAGTTCCTATAAAAAATTAGTACTTTTCTGATAATTATGAAAAAAATCGTTGTAGCATCTGTAATTATTCTACTCCCCTAAACCGCTATAAGGAAGTCAAACCTCCGATTAAGGAAGTGAAGTAAAGATTTTAAAAAATGGGCAAAAGAGAACGTTGGACGGTCGGCTGTTTTGCCACAGGGATCATTAAACTAGTTGATGAGTGGGCTTGAGAAAAAAGTAAATTACCGACACCAGAAGAACCTTTGGATACGGACCAATGGGCGCTGCCATCCTTTGAGGAATTAACTCACGGCAGGTCGTTCTGCCAATCAAGATGGCATTATTTGTCTGCTGACATTAACAATCATTTCATTTTATTATATCCGAATTCGCATATCAGAAAATCAGTTGAATTACTAAAAATGGATTTAAAATTATGATTACCGATGTAAAGTAGCGAATTTCAATTTCAATTGGCCATCGTCATCATATTCCAGTCTTCTCTATACTTGGCAGAATGAGATTCTTTTTTATAGTAGTACTTCCAAGATATTCTGTCAACTCATACAGCTTATTCCAGTTGATGTCTCTTCTCTTAATCTCCCTTTCCCTGACTCTGTCCTCTCAAGTGCCTTGGTCTTCCTCGACCAGGGATGCCCATCCCCTTCCCCCCAAGGTCGATGGCGCATGAATCTCCCTCCCCTCTTCTCCCAAGGTATTTTATTGTTCTCATCTTAAAAACATTCAACAAGCTAAAATAGAATTTTAAAAATAATAGGTCACATACAATGATACTTTCAGAGGTCTGTAGCAACTTGCGCCATGAAACTCGCTTCTGGGCACCCCTGTCCTCGATCACTCCTAGATTTGTTTTTCCTTTTTCCCTCTATCTGGCATTTCTGGCATACAGGGAAGAGGGTGATGTTTTCACGTAATCAATATAATGGGATCCGCAACAAAAGAAATTTCAATCGGCTCAAGGAGTGGATACTGGCTTTACAATGTCAAAATCGAGTATCTATTTTCTGGCATTCGCTTTAGATCACCATGCCACTTTAGAGAATGCTCAGCATCGGCTAAATTCGCCGGTGGTTTTACATTTAATCTCGTTCTTGGATGTTAAAGCCCATGATTTAAATGAGTAAATTGGTGAGGGAAGTTGGCTTTTAGATGGAAATCGTTTTACTTGTGGTAATTTATCTTCTCTTGAGGAATCTGCCTTCAATGGCTCTATATAGTCACTACCGTATCAACATAGTCGTTTCCATCGAGGCGAGCCCTTATATACTTGAACCAGTCCAACGGTTCCAACCTACAACTGTTAGCCACAATCAATCAATAATTCTTTGACACATCTTCATAACGATTGTTATTGTTATGCTTATAACCTTATTTACTATACTTTTCTCCTCCTCAGGGGTTCGGATATTGTATTGTAAGTCGTCTTTATTTTACTGACAGTTGGTTATATCTTCGAATATTGGTCGTATATAGTTAAATATTGTTTATTTATAGTAACATTGGTGAAAACTTAATGTACGACATTGATTTAACCACAAATAAATCTAATTTAAGGTGTTTTTTTTTAGATTGCTCTTTAGTAATAAATAACTAATAATAAAAGTAAATTTCAAGTAATAAATCTAACAAATAACAGTAAACTCTTTCCAGTAAAAATAAATAAGGCAAAACTATCTAAACGTGGCTCATGGGTACATTCGCGCCTTAAAAAGGTTCTCAGCAATTATATCTTCTCGCCTCTTGTACTTCAATTATGTTACGCGCGAATCTCACCTAACGTCTTGTCACCATAGGTTTTTGAACATTAAATAAATGAGTTTGTTTTGACAATGAAACAAACTCTATTGTTACCCGAGTTGTTTGATTTTATCTTTATTGTTACTGTGAACATTAAATAAATAATTTTGTTTTGACGATGAAATAAACATTATTGTTATCCACCTGATCGTCCCTAGTAAATATCCCACTGGATATTCTATTTTTAAGATGATAACGAAATTCTGTTTTCATCAGCAGTTTTGGAAGTCTGAACTATTTAAAATAACAAGTTTCTTTTTTAGAAATGAAAGAAACACAATCTGACAAACAATAATAATGAGTTTCTGGGATATTAGCCAATCATCAGCATGCGTCGACCTTTTTAGTGAAACCATTTTTATATGATTCCCATTGAAACGTCTTACGTTATATATTAATAATAAATTAGTATGAATATATAGCCAATGTAATAACAGTAACGTAAAGCAAGAAAGTACCTAAGTCTACTAAATATTTTACAGGTGTATGTATAATTAATAGAATTAAGAAGATTTAATACTTATTATTGAAGATTTTCAATTATTCGATTCTGCCTTTTTTAACAAATTCAGATAATTTAAAGAAATTTTAGCTCAGGATTTTCAGCCAAAACAATGGGGTAATATTTATTCAATATGACAAATCTTACATTAATTTCAATCCGTTAGTATTGATATTTAAAAACTCAAATAAAGTAAATAAAGCAATGCAAAACTTACATGAGATGTTGAAGAAATGTAGGAAATAAAACTACTCACAAAACCGATTTTTTTACAGACTACTATAAAGATGGAAAAAAAAACACTGAAGCCAACCTAAGAACCCATAATTCTTGAAGATTCTTCATTACGCTTCAAATTCCTTTACTCCTAATTTCTCATATAATAAATCAACATAACCTAGAATTAATTTAATAAAACTAATAAAAACTATTAATTTGAATAAAACATTTATATTTAAAACTTTATGTAGAACAATTGAGAGATTTTTCTTCCAAAGAATGTATTGTTGACTTTAATAAAAAACTAACAATTTGGTTTTTATTATTTTATTTTTTTATCTTTGATCTACAAAAAAACATATTAATATAAATTGGCAACGCAAAACGCCGGGAATGTCCAACTGCTGTTCCAGACTAAGCAACAGGTGTTTTGACTTGTGATAATCTGAAACTTCTCCACTTCAATGAATTTTGGAGGTCATTAGAATTCTATCCCAATTCGTGTTTTCGCCATTATTGAGGATTGCCAGGCATCTGTTATTAAATATTAATCAAATTATTGTATAAACATTTGTTTGTCAATCATCATTGTTAAGATGTTATTTAATTGGAGATATTACTCCAATCTTTTTCCCATCCCATTGCATAATAAAAAAAAACCCATTCATTTCAATCATTTTGAAGCATTATCATAGGGTCATCTAAATATGGTGAAATTTATATCATTAAATGGCAGAAACTACCACAATTAATTATAATTTTCCATAAACCCACTATCTTATTTACAATAACCTCTGTTCATTTTAAAAATTAAATCAAGATATATAAACAAAACTATATTTACATTATACTTAAGTTTATCAAATATATTTGCTGAAAGCAACAGCATAATGATACAAATATATACTATTTCAGAGAAATAGACTGCTTATTTAATTGTGTAAGTTGTTAACGTAATTGACAATAGCTTATACTATAGATGTTGAAATTCACATTTATTTTGGGCACAACTTAAGAGATAAAAAATATGTTTCAGTTTTGTTTTGAATCCCCTAACACCAGTTCAAGAAACAGTGTGTCAACTTCAAAATGAGACTACAGCTACCAATCCTGCAGCAACTCCACAACGTTCTGTCAATTTATATTATATGGTCAAGCTTCAGATTCGATCAGGTAGTCATTAGTGAAAGGTTGTGTAATTACATACATATACTTTAATCATAAGTGGTGATGTAATGATATTTTGGCTCTTTCAGATAATGTATGCTTGAGACCTTGGTCCTTTGAACGTGTACCAAACAAAATGATTAGAGGGCTTGATAATGCTTTAATTTATACTTCAACTAAAGAAGCTTGCTTAGCTGCATGTCTTAATGAGGTTAGTTCTATAACTCTTCATGATTTCTTAAGATTTAATTTAGAAAATAAGACACTAGGATCAGGATTGACCTAGCTATAAATTGGGTACCCTTAATTGGGAAAAAAACCTGGTTGTTGATGAAATCCTCTTCTGGCACAAACACTGGTCAAAAAACAGTAGATCCTTACCAAGAACTGAAGCAAAGACTCTTCATGAGTTAAAAGAGGAAGAAAGTTAAAATTGAATTTTCTGTATTTAAAAAAGAACCTTCTAAATCTTCATGAATTATAAAGAGGAACTAGTTGTTTTTTTTAATATAAGAAATGTTAATATTTTCATTGACTCATTCATTCATTTTATAATTTTAACAAAAATATACATTTTTATATAAATTAGTGTTAGCTTAGTTTTCTGTTTTGAAAAATAAAATTGTAAGTATAATTATATTAATTCTGCATTGCAGCATAGATTCACGTGTCGATCCGTTGAATATAATTATGTCACACTGCAGTGTCATTTGAGTGATTCTGACAGGCGCACTACTGGGCAATATGTTCAATTTATTGATGCTCAAGGAGTTGATTACTTTGAAAATTTGTGTTTAAAAGGTATTTTTATAAATAAATTAAATTTATAATTGTTTTAATGTGTAAATATAACTTTTTTCATTTAAAATTAAAATCATTATTTCAGCAAATCAAGCCTGCAAAAGCAACAAAATCTTTCAACCTCCTAGAATAGGTGTGGCTGATGACAAAGTCTCCCAATATGTTTCTCTCCATTATTATGTAGACAAAGATCTACAGGTCTGTGCATCTTTATTTGAATTAGATGCTTGGTTCATTTTCAAACAATTTATTGCAATTAAAAATCACAATTACAGGTAACAAGTGAAGCAGCTTGCAAGCTGGCTTGCGAAATTGAAAATGAATTCCTGTGTCGTTCATTCCTCTACAAGGGTCCACCAATTGGCACATCATATAACTGCCATCTTTACCACCTAGATCATAAGACTCTCCCTGATGGTCCTAACACATATCTTAATGCTGAGAGGCCTCTTATTGACGATGGTCAACGAGTTGGACTCTATTATGAAAACTTTTGTGAAAGTAAGACTTTTATTTGGTTGTATCAATTAGTATACGAAATAATGAAATATATAACAAATTAAATTTAATTCTTCAGAAGCGACAGGACTTCCTCATGATTCAACTCTGCCTGTAGTTTTTGATACAACTGATGATCCTTCAATTAACAACCTTACTAGATCCGATGTAAACTGTGACAACAAGGGATATTGCTATGATGGTAATAATTGTATTTTTTTATTAAATATTAATTCTCATAACAATTTGTTATATTTTAATTATGAATTTTTTTGAAAAACATGAGGTCGTTACAGGAAATTTATTATTTTACATTTTATCATTTTTATTAGTGCTAATGTAATGGTTCAGAAGTGAAAACCATACCTAGAACTGTACATATAAGGATATATGTTATCCTTTATTTTTAATTCTTTTGATACTTAATTTGATTCAAGATTATATATTTTTTTTTTTTTTTTTTGTTAGTTTCTGTCAATTGCAAGGACACACGAATTGCAGTTCAAGTTAGAACAAACAAGCCATTCAATGGTAGAATTTATGCTCTCGGAAGATCGGAAACATGTAATATTGATGTGATAAACAGTGATCTCTTCAGACTTGATCTCACAATGAGTGGACAAGACTGCAATACCCAGTCTGTGGTAATAATCACATCAATTAACTACTTCATTTAATTTAGTCTTAATTATCACTTTAAAATAACATTTTAAATAAAAAATTTAAAATTATATGTCATTATCAAACAATGCATTTTTTGATACATCTCATTAGAACGATTATTAAATGCCCATTACAAAGTTTTATATCTTATAAAACTAAATTATGTTAGCAATATCACTCTTACCTTCACATGCCATCTATCTGCACATATGTGTAAACAATTCAATAAAAAATAACAAGGACATCATAACAAACTCATAAATAACATGGCCACAACACTCATTTCAAATAACAAGGAGCTGAGTTAGCCATCACGTCTGAAAATTAATTTATTTCTATTTTTGTGTTTTAACTCTTTTATATTAAATAATAATTAATTATGATACGCCAGAAGGTACTCTTGTGTGCTCCTCATACTATGTCTCTAAGTATTGTTCATCCAATTCATTGGTCATTGATACAATAATTAATAAGATAAAGGTTATAATTTTTTTTTAAATTATTAGAAACTTTGTGTTGTTAATTTTTACAAATCTTTTCATATCAGAAGATGCATTTTTATTGCAATTTTTAAATTTTATAATGATATCCTTTAAACAAATTGTAAACTTTATTTAAAAATTAAAATATCTGTAATATTTTAATTATAGATTATTAAAGGTAATTTAAAATATTTTCAGACTGGTGTATATACCAACACAGTAGTATTACAACATCATAGTGTTGTAATGACAAAGGCTGATAAAATATACAAAGTTAAATGCACCTATGATATGTCATCAAAGAATATTACTTTTGGAATGATGCCAATCAGGTATGTCATCTATCACTATAAAAATTATCAAGTTGTTTAGTTTAAGTTAACATTTATTAATAAATAAAACAATTTTAGGGATCCAGAAATGATCAGCATCACTTCTGCCCCAGAAGCACCAGCTCCAAGGATTAGAATACTTGATACTAGAACGAGAGAAGTTGAAACAGTTAAAATTGGAGACAAGCTTACATTCCGAATTGAAATACCCGAAGACAGTAAGCAGTCTTTAATTATTTGCTATATGATTCTGTGGCTTGGTTTAAAGTTTCATTTATTATTAGCACTATATTACTGCAAATTTGTATTTATTCATTTTTTATTTTAATTTCAGCACCTTATGGTATATTTGCAAGAAGCTGTGTAGCAATGGCTAAAGATTCTAAGAGCACTTTCCACATTATTGATGATGAAGGGTAATTTAATCATCCTATTTTTTTTAAACACACATTCCTTATAAAACAATGTTATGTTAATTAAAGTGGAAATCATATTAAAAAAAAGTTAAGGAAGGCATTTGCCTATTTCTATACATATTGTGGTCATGGCATTTTGATCTAGTAAATCTCTCAAGAATTGTCACGAAAATATACTCATTCATTTGTAGACCTAAAGAAGTTTGATAATTTTAATTGAGGTGATCATGTAACATAGAAGTTAATAAATATAATATCATGTAACTTCATGTTATATATATCTCATTATTTAATGTCATGATGTATATCATAGAAGTGACATTTATTTACAGAATAATTAGTTCTTGAAGATTAGCTATAATATATACAATTTATTTGTAACAATGAGTATTAACTTTCAGATGTCCTGTTGATCCTAATATATTCCCAGGATTTACTCCAGATGGTAATGCCCTACAAACTGTCTATGAAGCATTTAGATTTACTGAATCATATGGTGTTATTTTTCAATGCAATGTCAAATACTGCTTAGGACCTTGTGAACCTGTAAGTATATTATAATTTGTCTTTTTATTTCTGTTACTAATTCTAGGCAGTTGTAATTAATTATAACAATCTATGCATCCAAACTCTATCTTCAAATATCATTATTTAAAAAAAAATGCATTTCAGGCTGTTTGTGAATGGGGAAGAGAATCAGTAGAGTCTTGGGGAAGGCGGAAGAGATCTTTAGCTCCTTCAAATGAAACAGATAGTTTGGAGGAAGACATGACCTTAAGCCAAGAAATACTTGTATTGGATTTCGGTGATGAAAAACAATCACAATATCTGAAAAATAATGAAGCACTTTTCTCAGAGTTTGGAAAAGGTAACTTATCATTTCTTTCTAGGACCAGTAATGAAATAAGAATCACTTACATGTTATGTTCGTAATTCAAAATCAATATTTTACTTTTTCAGATAAAACAGTGACAATCGTTGAGCCCTGTCCAACGAAGACATCCATTTTTGCGCTTGGTGTCACTTGTGCATTGTTGGTTCTGATATATGTCGCAACAATCTTCAGTTACTACATGAAGAAATGGATGACACCTAGAAAAATGCTAGCCTAATCATAATGCACTGTCACCTGACCTTAATGAAAACTTGGATTACATCTCAAGTTGTAAACTGAAAACAAGCTTTACAACAAATGTAATGATGAATTAATTTTTGCAATGAAGATGCGACACTTAACCCACCTTATTAGTTTTAGTTTTCTTATTTATACTTCTGAATATTCTAAAACATTATTTATTTAAAGTGTTTCCTCTTCATTGTAAAAATAATGAAAACTAATTGTAATTATTAAGTGTTCTATTTCTAAATGACAAAGTTATTTTTATAAAATGTGTTTTGTCGAGAAATGTCTTAGGAAAAAAATGACAGAAATGGTTGTGTACTATGGGCATGAAATTTTCAAGAGTGTTAAGTATTTAACTTAGTAAACAGCCCATGTGATGTCATACAGCTATTTGTGTATCTTTGTTGCTGTTCTCTCGACTTTGTTTTTTGTTTTTTTTTGTTTGTTTTTTATTTCAGAACTGTTAATGAAATATATCCTTCAATTTCTCAGTAAATGTTAACCCCTGATATACTAAAAAAGATGTGTCATTGATACAATTGGGGATATATGATTGTAAATAATGATTTTCTAATTAATATTTAAGACTAAATGAAGAGAAAAAAAGCTCTAGGTTCACATACGGGTGTTCCCAACGGTGCCCAGATACTTAATTGGCACCGCAGCGGGACTGGTGAAGGGGATCCTACATGCATTTACAGCTATCTGCTCCGATCCGATCGATCCTAAAATCTAGTCCCTTCCATTAACCTCACCCTATCCTGAATTAGTGAAGTTATTCAATCCCTTTACCAAACAGTATATTTTCGGAGTGTAGAAGTTTCTGTATATGCCTCAGATTGTAAAGCATGCAAGATTATGTAAATATTTTTTGTATTTTTAATTTAAAATAACGAGTGAACAGTAATGATAAGAAAGCCCTTATTTATAATGCTCCTCTAGAAAATAAACAATTTGAAACTTAGTTTTATGTTTATTTATTTATACCCACAATCTTGAATAGAAATGTTTGTTTGTGTTATTTAAAGTCGTAAAATTCCTAGGTTATCAATGCCTATGGTTTATTTCAACTATAAGTTTGTAAAAAATTTAGATATTATGAAAAAAAAATTTAAATAGAAAACTATATAAAAAAGTTATATTACAGAATCAAATGAAATAACGTATGAATTGTAAGCTTTTTTATTAATGATAATACGATAGAAAGGTGTTGTGTTTTTAAAACCAACTGAAGTTTCATTGTCAACAAGGGCTATAGACAAAGTTGGAATCATATTGAGTAGTGATTACATTCCTCAAAAATATGTTTACAGAGAGCATACAATGACAATACTGGCTTAATGGAGGTGGCTGTTCTCTAATAAGGTACAAATGGAAATGTATTTATTTTTTTAATTTCTAATTTATCGTTAAAACAAAAACTAATGGCAAAGTAAAAATTAAGAATCTTTCTGGAAGTATACATTAAGTATCCCTACAAAGAACCATACAATTAGGAGTTAGCTACGAAACACAAACTGCACTAATAAACAAAATTAATAAAAGTATAAAACCAATAATATAAAGTGACTTAAGAGTAACTTACTATACAAGTTTTTTTTTTTTTTTAACTTTTATTATGATATTTACAACTGTATTAGTATGAATAGATCAAGTAAATGTGTACATAGGAATATTATCACATGAAACACGCTTGTTGAGAAACTACCCATTGGTAGCACTCTAATAATTTGTCTACATGAGATCACGAGGCTGTCTTCTTTTCAGACGTCTCAGAGGGTTATCAGGAATCGAAGAGGAAGCAAGATTAGAAACAAGAGGATTCGGATGTTTATGAAGTTTATTATGGAAGGAAAGATATCTGGATTTGGCCTAATCGGAAACATATGGAACATTGAGGTCTTTATGGATTATTTTATTTGTGAGAAAGTAAGGAGCATTGAGGATTTTACGAAGGATTTTGTATTGTAAAGATTGGATACAAGAGGAATTTTATGGTTTAGTGGAGCCCCATAGCTCAACTCCACAAGTCCAAATAGGTCTTATTATAGTCATGTATATGAGTTGTTTGTAATTCATTGGAAGTTTAGAGTGTTTGTCCAGTAAGTGTTGGAGTAAGCGGAAACGTCGAGCAGTTTCTTGTCGTTTCAGTCTTGTATGAAGATTCCAAGTGAGACGTTTGTTCAGCTGGAGTCCTAGGTATCGGATTTGTTCTACAGGGATAAGTGGGGTGTTATAAAAGGATAATATAGGACAGCAAGTCATTGGTTTACGACGAAGGGTAAAGGTGATTTGATGGGATTTATTGGAATTTATTTTAATCCTCCAGTTTTGACACCATTCTTCAAGGTTTGTAATATGTGATTGAAGAGTTTGGGATGCAATTTTTGGATCATTATTAACTGACAGGATACATGTGTCATCAGCATACGTAGTGATGACAGTGTTAGGATGGGTTGGGATATCAGCTGTATAAACTGTGTAAAGGATAGGACCAAGGATACTACCTTGAGGAACTCCGGCAGATTGAGAAAAGAGGGATGAATAGGCATTATTGTGATTTACTTTGAAGTGTCTATCAGTAAGATAGGAACTGATGATAAGAAAATATGTAGGGGGAAGGAATTTACGGAGTTTGTAAAGCAATCCCGGATGCCAGACTCGATCAAACGCCTGTTCAATACTATACAAGTAAATTGATTTAAACAAAAAAGTATATTCCTGGCATATACCTTCCTTAAATACTAATTTGAGTTTTGAATAGCATGTTCTTGGATAGGCTGATCTAGAGACCGGATTTTTGTGCAGTAAAAATCCGGAAAACTTGCAGTAAAAAACGAAAAATCGTGTAGTAAAAATCCAAAATACGTAAAATTGTATAATTAACATCTAAAACCTTGTAAAATTGTGTATATTATTTAAATTATAACAATAATACATCAAAATCTTATCAGATCATGAGCTAACCCGGAGATAAAAAAAAAAAATTAAATGTAACATCGAAAATGAATTTCCAAATTATAATCAATATAAATTATAAATAACTCATTGAAGGAATAAATAAAGGCTAGAATTATAGGTACCTATATATTATATATTATAGGGGAGCGGGGTAGCTCAGTGGAAGGGTACTGAGCTTCCAACCCCGGCTCATGGCAGAAAATTTATTTATATGTATCATTGGCCGAGGGACGACCCTGAGTCAGGAGACCCTCCTGGGGTGCACCCAGCCTCTATAAAGTGGGTAACCTTAATTAAATAATTGGTTAAGGGGTTGAGCGTGATCTCGGTCAAAACACCTCCTTGCAAAACACCTAAAAACAGTGCTTTCCCTAAATAGTACTGAGCCCAAGACCCTTCATGAGTTGTAGTGGTACACTCTTTTTTTTACCCTTAATTAAATAATTGCTTAAGGGGGAAAACCTGGGGGTTGAGCGTGATCTCGGTCAAATCACCTCCTTGCACAACCGTTGACCTAGAAACAGTGCTTTCCCTAAATAGTACTGAACCCAAGACCCTTCATGGGTTGTAGTGGTACAGGTTTTTTTTTTTTTTACCCTTAATTAAATAATTGGTTAAGGGGGAAAATCTGGCAGTTGAGCGTGATCTTGGTCAAATCACTTCCTTGCACAACCGTTGACCTTGAAACAGTGCTTTCCCTAAATACTACTGAACCCAAGACCCTTCATGGATTGTTGTGGTACAGGTTTTTATATATATATATAAAAACCTGTACCACAACAATCCATATACAATCCATATATATATATATAAAAACCTGTACCACAACAATCCATGAAGTGTCTTGGGTTCAGTACTATTTAGGGAAAGCACTGTTTCTAGGTCAACGGTTGTGCAAGGAAGTGATTTGACCAAGATCACGCTCAACTGCCAGATTTTCCCCCTTAACCAATTATTTAATTAAGGGTAAAAAAAAAAAAAAACCTGTACCACTACAACCCATGAAGGGTCTTGGGTTCAGTACTATTTAGGGAAAGCACTGTTTCTAGGTCAACGGTTGTGCAAGGAGGTGATTTGACCGAGATCACGCTCAACCCCCAGGTTTTCCCCCTTAAGTAATTATTTAATTAAGGGTAAAATATATATATATATAATATATATATATATATATATATATATATATAAAATATATATATATATATATATATATATATATATATATTATATAGACCAGACCAATTTTAGATATTTAATTTTATTAAAAATAATAATGAAAACTTTATTTTTTAATAGACTGGAAATTTCCAATATTATACATTCGAAAATGTTTTATGTTAAAATTTTAAGAATTTTTAAAAGATTTTGAAATAACTTGAATGTTTGAGATTTTCAAGTGTTCAAATAAATGTCTTACTTACAAAGTAGCTAATTCTAGGAAAGCAGCTTTTTATTATCCAATACTTTAAGCATTTTATTCCAAGAATAGGTCTCACTTGTGTTTACTTCTTCCTTTTGTAATGAATAAGATTTTTAATTCACACAGAATTATTTGCTTTCCTAATATTTTTCTATTTTGAATAATATAGTAAAATAAATATTAGCATACTCACTTACACATTTGTATTTATAAATCATCTAATTTAGCACAAAAGTGCAATTTAATGCAACAAACATCAAAATCGTGCAATTTAAGCCAAAAACGGCAAAACGTGTAATATAAAATTTAAATATATTATTCTACAGGTTCTGAAACAGATAGATATTAGGGTACGGAGTTTTTACACGCAAGCAAATAAAAAGTGCAATAACATGGAAATCCGGTCTCTAGGCTTATCAAAAACATACAGACCATTTTGCGATATTTGAACTTAAGGAACCTTATAATGTCAAAATTTCTCACAACCGCATATATAGTTAAGTGAAAGTAACCAATATTTACTATTCTGTGGGATGGACATTAAATTTATTCAATTTAAGAGTATACTTACTCTTATATAATTTTAGATTTCTTACGTGTCAAAGAAATTTAAGTTTTAGCTTTTACTCTAGAATATAACCAGTTACATGAGGTAATAATGACCCTATTGGTTGACACCTTTATAAATAAGATAAAAAAGTTTTTACTAAAGAAGAAAACCAAATAGTCGAAAGGAATAATCCTTTATTCTTTCTAAAAAATATTGACAATATCCTCCATGTCTTTCCTGACCCTTATCATTTATGGTAGTTCTTCTGTCATGGGATTCACAGACAAGACTCAATCAGTCTGTTATCATCAAATGAAAGAAGTTCATAGCACTGCTTTAAAAATCTGGTAATATGGACAGGAAAATAACATTCTTAACTACGTGTGATCAATGCAACTTGATAGAGATTAAATTTCTATATATATCAACTTAAAAGAATAGTCCTTAAGCAGAAGGCAGATGTTCAATTAGTGTTAAGAATCAAAAATAAGATTGGAATTTCATGCTGAAAAGATGGATAATATAAAAACATTAATTCCTAAATGAACAAATATATCAATAATAGCAGTTAGAATAACTAATGAAAATAGCTTGTTTCAGCCACTACATCATTATTGTATATAGACTATAACAATTACCAACATTAACAATACAATTAATATACAATTTAAAGGAGTTAAAATCCAAATTTATCACAGAATGGTAAAAAAGGAAAAATCTTTTGTTACAACTTTTTAATAAAAATAAAAAATGAGCCAATAAAAACAGAACTAAATATCATATATTTACAGTTATTTTACAAAAATACAAAGTACCACTTTTAGGAGATAAAACATTAAGTACAAACTTAAGTTTAAAAGAAGAAATATATACACATTCATAAAATAAAACAGCTGAGATCAACAATTTAACCCCATCATATGTTGAGTGAGCATAACGATTTCCAACTTGACTTCTGGTTTTAATAATTCTTTTACCTACAACATAAGAAAATAATTGCTATACTGAATTTCAAAACAAACATCGCTTTAAATCAGCTTCTTATGCTAAAAGTATTTATTTGATATTTTTAAAATTCTGTTATCAAAAGAAGTTTTTACTTTAACTTACCTATGAAATGTATAGTAAGGGAAAGTATTACGATTGTGAAAATTTTTGAATCTGAGTTTTCAACGGAAATACATGTTTTCATGTCTCCTCAGTCCAAATAACCAAGTCCTGCAAAAGGGTCTGTGTGTATGTTGTATGTATGTGAACAGTCTAGCATAAAAATGAAATGTCGTACAAAAGTGAAATTCCATATTTAAGGTTTGTATATACCAGGTAGCCCAGTAACCTTGTACATCGTAAGTTGCATTGGATAGGGGTAGAAAGTTTCTTTTTATTCCCTTGTATAGGATATGACTGATATACAAAATCTAAGTTTTCCACCTAAGCGCCCCTCCCTTCGCCAATCCCCCTCCCCCCCACCACATTATATGATTTGATATTCTGTCTCATCAGAGTATCTGTATTTTCAGCAAAAATAACAACCAATTAATTATTACCAAATTTTAATTTCTCTTTTTCCTCGTGACCTGACATCTAGTAAATTAGTTATGAAAATACACTTTTTATTCATTAAAAAAATACATTAAAGAAAAACTGCTTTTTCAAACATTTATTATCTAAGGTGATAATGAATCATTGTTTACAATACAGATACCTATTGAGAAAATTTATCCTAATGGTATCAAGTAACTACATGTTTTTAATCTTAATAATTACATTGACGTGAAAGAAATTCTAGTCTTTCATTTTTTTTTTAAATAAAAAAATGAATATTTATATCATAAAAATAGAAATGTTAATTTACAAAAATGAGCTATCAGTCACTATTTTCAGTTGGTAATGAAAACTGCTTTTGGATGGAATATTGAATCATTTGGAAATTCAAGGAAGAAAAACTTTACTTCCACAGGAGAATATTTTTTTCTGAAGAAGTAACATTTACAAAAAATGGGATATTTTATAACAGAAATGCCCATAATCGAGGAAATGAAAATCCTAATGCCACATAAACCAGATCAATACCATTTTAAAGTAATTAATCATTATTGTAAATTAACATTTCTAAATATAAGATATTAAATATAAAATCCTACAATAGCTAGGATTTAAAACATTGAGTTAGTTACTTAATACCATAAGGATCAATTTCCACAAAAGATATCTGTGTTACGAACAATGGTTCATTATCACCTTAGAAAATAAATTTTTAAAAAAAGCAGTATTTTTTCAACATATATTTTTTCATAATTTGCTAAAATTGATGACAGGTCACTAGAAAAAGAAGGAATTATACAATTTTGTAATAATTTGTTGGTTGTTATTTTTGCTAAAAAAACATTGCGAATAATCTATGATTTAATGAAAAACAAATTACTATAGTTTGGCTGCTCAAAAGTCTCCTTTAAATGGTTTTGATAAAGACAAACTCTACTTGTATTTGATGAAAATTTTGTGTAGTTTACTATAAAGCAATTATTAATTATCTGAATTAAATAATTTGTGTTGTCCCTTCTTATGAAAGAGAAAATATGACCACCTTAAGAAAAGGCAAAATTGGACTTCTTTTCCATTCAAAATTGGCCATACATGAAATGAAATTGTTCGCTAAAAAATTTGTCTAGAATTAACTCTCGGAGTTTAGCCATTAAGAATTGAGAGATCCTGTATATTTGAAATTGGAATAAACACATAAATTAACTTACACTAAATTTGTTAGCTACTTCAAAAGCTGCGACCAAACTGGTGTCATAAACCATCATCCTGCTTTCAGCCAGTGCATTTATACAGCACTGCATCCTTGCTATAGCTTCTCTTTCTCTAGGTTCAACTCTCTGAAAAAAATAAATACAATTTTTTAAGCACACAACACAATTCATATTTATAAATATATAATTCATGACCAGTAAATTTTTCATGTAAATTAATTATTTCAAATAAAGATAAAACTAAGTTCAACAATTATTTACTTTCAACTTATTTACTAAAAAAGTCATAATTTTTTTTCAACTACAATGAGTGTTATGTGTATTCAGCAAACGTGGTAAAGCAGAACTAATATATTTTAATATTATTTAACATGATTAACTTAATATAATATGCTGACCCAGTTGATTCATGCACGTTATGTATCTTTTAAGTAAGTGGTTCTGAAATTGGATGCCACTAGTATATAAGGACCCAAAATTTTAAAATAACTAAATTTAAAATTTATTTTAGTAACAGAATTAAATAAAATAATTTTAAAAAAAATAATATGGCTTTCAATAATTATACATTTTTTATGTTCCTATTTTATTTATTTCTCTAGATTGTTATTTCATTAATAATAATGTCACCACCACTCCAATTATAATATCCTCCAATGGATTGATACCAAAGACAACAGTGGCAGGCACGATGGGATTAAAATTACCTCTTGAAGTGCTGAAAGAGGCTCAACACTCAGTTCTCTTGGACACAGCACGTATTGTTCGAAAGTTTTTAAATATCTAAAAAGTAATAGATATAAATTTGAAGTGGCTGGACTTCTGGTCTCCCACCTCAGAAACTTACCCCGCAAAGCGAGAATAAAGAATGGGAATAATAATAATAATAGTGCGTCACAATAAACCAGATATCTTTCTGATAGATATGAAAGAGAAAAGAGTAGAGCTTATTAATGTCAGGATCCCCTATGATAATAATATAAGCTCCACTGTTGGAGAAAAACTGAGAAAATAGCAGGAACTGGCAATCGAACTGAAGGAATTATATCATTTGGGGAACGTCACCACCACTCCAATTATAATATCCTCCAATGGATTGATACCAAAGACAACAGTGGCAGGCACGATGGGATTAAAATTACCTCTTGAGGTGCTGAAAGAGGCTCAACACTCAGTTCTCTTAGACACAGCAGATATCGTTCGAAAATTTTTAAAAATCTAAAAAAATAATAGATATTAATATGAAGGTGGCTGGACTTTTCGTCTCCTATCTCAGAAACTTACCCCACAAAGCGAGAATAAAGAATGGAAATAATAATAGAGTGGTTAAAGTTAATTCTTCCCCACTCCAGGAAAATACATTTTTTTAAAGTGATAAAGAATAAAGAATAATAATAATAAAGGGTGCTGTGAATTTTATTGCATAATTTGAAACCACTGTTTAAGAACTCAACATTATTACTAAAATTTTCTTAAGATTTATTTCTTGTAAGGTTTAAATCAAATTGTGATAAAATTCATGGATAGAATTTAATCATTTATATCTGTGACCAAACCCACTTGCAGGACCTGCACCATCTCACCATATATTATTATTATTACTATTTACTAATAAACCTATAAATAATAATTCAACGTGTTTAAATTTCATCCAAGTACCTCTTAAATTTTCTTTAAGAAACTGAGAAAACGTTCCAGACCAAACCACTTCAAAGAATATCCACGTAGTCCCCAGAAATACATCCTATTTTATTAAGTTCAGTAAACACCTATCCTAGCCCCCCACACCTATGAGAAAGTTACACTATAAGTCAATAAATTTAAAATTAAAAAAAACAAACCAATTCCAGGTTCCTAGCAAAACCTCCAGCACCTTCTTCAGTAGACTTTGGAGTAGGATATAACCAGATATAACCATTTGTACCAATTATTAAACTAATGCCACAAATTGTATGGAAATGTGTTTTTGAACGCTTAATTAAAGGAGCAGGTACAGTAACAAGTACACCCTGAGATAACTGGAAAATAAAGAAAAAGGTGAAAATTTTTAAAAGATACGGTTAATAGATCATCAAAAATAAAATAAAATATTTAAAAATTAATCTAGTTTTTAACAGTAAATATATGGAACATTATTGAAAAATTAATCCTTAACAAGGGCACTTCAAATAAAAATAATAATAAAATAGCATAAAATCAAATTTAATTGTATCATACGGCTGAATTTTACAAACAAAACTATACACAACAAAATTACACCATAAATTAAGACAAAATTTCAATACCAGCTGCCAAATGACCACTATTGGTTCGCCAGGCCAATAGGAGAGGAATATTAAACAAATACAATAACTTAATAAAAAATATTTTGGATGCATACCTTTCCATACTTTAAGTTTCTTGTGTGCAATGACATAGTACCTTCCGAAAAAACATTTTGCACTTCAGCACTTATGAGATCTCCTTCAGATAAATATTGCCTCATCATACGTTCATCTTCTACTGATCTCCTTCTCTGCAAATAAATAAATAAATTACAAACAAAATCAATTACGTAAACTGCAATGCAACATTTTTTTTTTTTAATTTTAAATCATTATTGAAATAATTGTTGATTGATGGTTGACTTTAGTTAATAATTGAAGTTAATAATAATTATAATATAAATATATATAATTTATATATTTTAAACATTTTTTTTTTCTGTACTTCCCAACAAATCTTCTCTTCCATTATTGAAATTATAGGGCACAACCCAAAAAATGAAGATTATGAGTCAGCATTATTGTAGTATTGGGAATCAATTTTGACATTGTAGATTAAAGATCTTTTTTTAGTGTGTTGTTTGAAATATTGAATATTGAACTACGTCTTTTAAAACTGTAACATTCTTGTGAAGAGACTGATGTGAAAACTTTAATTGATCAAGTTATAATTGTGGTATAAAAAACTGTAAGTTGAGATGGAAGCAAATATTTGATATTTGAGATAGACACACCAACAAAATAACAATTAATTACAATGTTATTCAAATAAAAAATGAGGTATTCTCTGCATTTATTTCTCATAATGTCCCTACTGTTTCTTTTTCTTTTTAATTTCATTCTTTACAGCAGTTTTTCAAAATTTACCATCATGAGTATCAAGAGAAAGAAGTAGCACTAGGCTTAAATAAAAAAAATGAGAGCTCACCAAAAATGTAACAAGTCATATTTTGAAAATTTATTAAAAACTATAAATTGTATATTGTAATGGGAAAAAAAATGGGAGGGTCAGAGATAGGAAAATAGTATAAAATTAAAAAATTGTTAATAACTTTGAAAAATACAATATTAAGTTTAAAACACTACTTTTTATTAAATGTCTTTTATTATTACTATTTATTAAATGATAAACAATACTTTTCATGCTATATGTGTGGCATGAAACAAACAATAAAAGCACAAAATATATAATAATAAAACCTGTATTTGATATGTAAATATCTCAATTCACAGAAATAAATCTATTAACTAAAAAAAAATTAAGAAACAGCCAGAAAGGTTCTTAGTCAGCCAAGTTGAACATTAGGATAACAAACAGTGGATAGAACTAGTTCCTGAACTCAGCACTGAGCTCATCAATACCATCGGAACTTCATCAAACAGTTCCTGATTTCATAAATGGCAACTATCAACAGAATCTAGAGCATTCCTTTATTCATTAATCGAAACACTGATATTAATATTAATAGTTAATAATAACATATTAATATTCATTTAACTTTCTATCAATAATAAGTTCCAGAGTGCTGAACCATTAATAAAAGAATCAAATAAAGAGGAAGTTGAATTAGCTATCGGTACATCAAAATCTTATAAAGCAGAGGGAACAATAGCATTTTTAATGAACTTATAAGGCATGCGGGGAAGCTGGAGTTTCTAAAATGTATTTGTTGGTTAAAAAGATCAGAGTTAGTGCAAATACTGCGATAGTATGGATATTCAGATAGAGTAATTGGCTGAAGAATGGAAAGAATCTACTCTTATTATGATTCTCAAAAAGGGCCCAAGGACAGATTGAAATAACTATCAAGGAATTTCTCTCCTTCTAATATGTTATAAAATATTCATATTCATCTTAAATAGTCAAAACCGTTCAACTATTGATCAAATATTAGAAATGAAATTAGAGTAAAACGGTGTTGATCACCAGCTATCTATTAACTTAAAAAGGGTTATGATTACATAAACCGCCAGAAACTGTATAATATTCTAATTGATCAGGGGATACCAATAAAATTAGTAAATCTAGTAAAAATATGCATGACCCAAATATTCAATAATGTTACTCAGTTATTATTTATCCAAAAAATTTGAGGTTCGTTCGAGTTTAAAATAAGGTGATTCCCTTTTACCTGTTCTATTTATTTTGGCATTAGAATATGCCACTAGAGAGGTGATATAAAAAAGGTTGGAATCTGGGTGGAATGATTACTGTGTGTATGCTGATGATTTGATACTATTAAATTAAGAAAGTAAAGAACTAGTAGTCGAAATAAATATGGACAAAACAAAATATACAGACAGCTGCAAAATGGACACAAATTGTGTTATTGATGTAGAAGGACTTTTGAACATGTATAGAAGAAATTAAGTAGAAGAGGAAGTTAAGGCAGAAAGGCTAAAGGCAGGAGATGCTTGCTATTTTTCTATTGCAAAACTACTTAGATCAGCTAGCTGTCCTGAAACATAAAAATTAGAATTTACAAAACCATTATTCTTCACATGGTCCTATATGAATGCAAAACGTAGCCGTTTACATTTACAACGTCTTTAAGGTTTTAGAAAATAAAGTATTGCGTAAAATGATAAACCGGAGGCTTTAGTTACACAACACCAAATTGCACCCTGTTAATATAATTGATATTATATTACATGAATAAAAGGGTCATTCAAAATTGTTGAGCTTAATAATGAAAGAATCTCTAAATTGTTAATATACTCTATGCCGAATGGCAAGAGTCCAAGGTGTAGGCCGAAGCGAAGGTGGGAGGATTGCATAAAGGCTGATCAAGCGGGTTTGGGTTTGGATGGTGCTTAGTGAATAGAAGTACACAGCAATTGCTGGTACGTTCGGATATGTGAAGCCTTATTATTGTTATTCTATAAATATTTATTTCTGTTTTTAATTTCAATACTTCAGTAAGTAGGTATTTCCTTATCTTTCATGTTTAACATGCATTTTGTAACCTTTGAGAAGTGCAAATCTTCCTTTGAAAGATTTCGCTCCTAAACTCAGAAGAAATCGCTGTTTATAGGAGCTTGATTCAACCAATTGATGGATTCTATTGATGCAATTAGCACTGAGATTAGAAACATACCTATATAAAATCAAGATTGGTAAACGTCGATGTAATTTAAAACTAAGCTAAAATAAGTACCTCAAGCATTAATTCAGGAGTGCCAATCCCTACCCCCCCCTCTCACCAAGATCGATAACATAAGAATCGTCTCTCCCATCCCCCTCCCAAGATATTTTATTTCTTAAAAATAGAGCAAGCAAAGGTAGAATTAAAAAATTCTTAGATCATTCACAATAACACTTGTTACGATCTGTTCCATGTTTTTTCCTTGTGCATAAGTATGAAACTTTTCATTCCAAAAATTCGTCAAGCCGAAATGTGCATCTCTCAAAAATTCAAAAACCCGGAAAAATATGCGGTACTAGTTCACAACAGTTCCGCACGGATTACGCATGGTTCACAATCACTTCGATCACACTTGTTCCTGGAATCCCGAATGCGTTCGTGTTTCTCCGAAAGAGAACGAAGGCGACCAATCTCTTGGGCCAGTTACTATTAACTTTCCCACCATTTAAGTACTTTAACCTTAACCACATTCAGTTATATAGCAGGAGCAGATTTACATTCGAAATTTAGGCTACACATCATGAAACCTGAATTGAGCTTGTACATATATTATAGATCTGTAAAAAAGAAATAGTAATACATAAACATCTTTAATTATTACATCTCTGGCTGCTATTTCACGATATTATTTTTCTTATAGATAATTTCCAATATTCATTATATTGGAATTATTACATATTCTTCGTCAGTTGTTTCCCAAATACGATAATTCCTTTCTCGAAAATAAATACATTTTTTTTGTACCATAGCCTACAATAATCCCTTTTTTTCGGATTACCAAGAAAAATAACTACGAATAACAATAATTACACATCATAATTACAAATCAGACAGTATATGCATACAATGCGCCCCCCTCCACTAGAAAATAGCCCCTCGTATTATTAGAAATCTAAAAAAATACATAAACTAGATAGACGATTGCACAATTCTAAAAAAGGCTTGCTAAAATAAATTATAAATTCAATTATTCCAACTTCTATTGAAAAACTCAAATAACAAAAAAAAAAGATAATAGATAACTTAAAATTATTTATTATCCAAATGATAAAAAAATCTTTTATACACAGTTATAAAAGATAATATACAGTATATGCGTATTTACAGCCACTACATGTAAGCACGTGTCAATAAAAATGTTATTACTAAAAGCTTTTTTTTTTATTAGGGCTTCAAGAAACTACTCAAACATTATTTTATGTATTTTTTTCTTTTTCTTTCAAAGTAATAACCGTTATAATAAAAATTAATAATTAACTGATTAGTAAATACACAATTTTTTAATAAGGAAGTTCCATAAAGGGAATACGTTGTATTTTTTTCAAAAATGCATGAAAATGGATTGTATTATGGGGCAATAGCTGACATCATAAAAGACGACAACATTCGGCTGTTTTCGGGATTCCATGAACAAGTGTGATCGAAGTGATTGTGAACCACGCGTAATCCGTGCGGAACTCTTGTGAACTAGTACCAAATATGCCACTCTCAAAAATATTTATGACGCAACTTGCAGCATCAAATCCACTTCAGGGCACCCCTGCATTTATTAAGATAAATAAATTATTGATAATATATTAAGGCAATTAAAAAAGAGAGATATTAGAACCAATCAAATAAATTTTTAGTTCTAAAAATACTCTCAACAAGAACAAGAAGAAACATACCATCCAAGGTAATATCCTTAGAGAAAGGAGGAAATAAATAAGTGCTTTAAAACATATAGGCAGTATTAACAGACAATTGCACACAATATAACACTTGTTTAAAGTACATTAAACTAAATAGCATTTAAATAGGCCTTGAATAGCAGCTAAGATTATTTACCAATTCTCCTCCAGGTAAATTAACAGATGATAATAACAGCACAGCATCTAATCGAGCATTAGCATCCACTCTCCATCGTTTTTGTTGGATTTCTGTTATTCTTCCTACTACAACATCTCCTATTTCGCCATTATACCTTGATTTCAATGGTCGAATCATAATAAGTTTATTAACGTGTTCCAGAACACCAGCAACACTAGCTTTAATGCGCCCATTATCTTGATATGTTCCATGCCCTCTATTAAGCAAATTGAAAATTATTAATAAACAGTGAAGCAATTAAAATCAAAGAAACTTTTAAGCTTAACTAAAGCCAATTAATTGTGGAGTAAAAGAATAATGCAACCAAAACTATTTAATTATATTAATCATATAAAGAAAATAACTCAAATCTCATGATACGATTAATAATGGTTAATAACAAAAAACGCCTACCTTAATAGACCCGTTTCAGGGCCAATATCCTGTCCTGGAGTATATAATTCAGGATGCTCGCAAGGTGTAAGTAAACTAATTCTGTCACTAGCTAATCTAAAACTCGCGGACACACTTTTATCACCAATATCCTCTCTATCCAACCCAGCCATTCTAAAATTTATCTATCACTTGACTTCGAACATGAATTGACGCACGTGAGCAATGTTCAAATTTGTTTGTATGGACGAGGTTATTATTCAGGTTATTGATATGGAATTGATAGCCTTAATTTCAGTCAAATTTATGGTATTTGGAACCGATTTTTAAAAAATATAAGGTTTTAATTTATATTTAAGAGAAACACGACCCCTTAAAATTGAAAATTAAATTTTAAAAAGTTTATATATGGATGAAAACATGTTTTAATGAGCCCAGACAATAAAACCGAATATTTACTCAAACAAACTATTTCCTTATATATCAACTGTAGTATGTTACATTAATGTCACGTACTGTTTATAATTTTAAGACACGTACCGCAATTTTTTATTAATGTCATGACTTTTGATAGTAATCAAGGTGGCGCAAAGCTTAAATGGTAGGGTCCAACGCGACACTGCCATACAGTTCGAACGTTTCACTCGTCTCGTATCTTTTCATTGTTGATTTTATCACGTAGGATGGCAGCTATACCCAACGAATATCTTTCCAAAGCAGAAGATATTGCCGAGGAGGTCTGTACATTCCTTTTATTTACGAAAGTATTTTTAAATTAATTAATAGCAGTTGTGGGACTGAGGTTTCATCTCTTATTTATTTCTTAATTTTGATATTTGCATCCATAAGTTTAAAAAGGCTGCTCTAATTTGTATTTTAAACTCAATTTGGTATTTTGATTCTAATTGTGCTTTTAATTTAGTTTTTTTTCAGTGATTTTCAAGTGACAATATTGTCCATTAATGTTACTCACATTATTTTATGCATATCATTCAGGTTTACAAAAGGACCAAAGGAGTTTTACCAACTGTAGCTCGAATGTGCCTCATCTCAACATTTCTTGAAGATGGAATCAGAATGTGGGTACAGTGGTCAGAACAGAGAGAATACATGGACATGTCATGGGGATGTGGGCAATTTTTAGCCACAATGTTTGTTTTAGTGAACTTAGTTGGACAATTAGGGGGTTGTGTAATGGTTCTAATCCAAAAGAAAGTTACTATAGCTGTTGGAGTGCTATTTTTTATTGTAATATTACAGGTGAGATTAAAATCTGTATTCTGGACCTATTAATTTTTGAACATTTGTTTATGATTATCATCAGTCATATTACTTCTAGACATTAGCATACAGTATACTATGGGATTTTCAATTCCTGTTGAGGAATCTCGCACTCATTGGAGCCCTCCTCTTTGTACTAGCCGATTCACGCAAGGAAGCTAGGAGTCTGTTTGCTGGAGTTCCCACTCTAGGTAAGAACTTTGTTTTAAGTTATTTTGAATGGTTTGAACTTTGTAGTTTGAATTACAGATTGTTTTTCTAACCATGGAAGGCTCTTTTGTCGTTTTATGATCTATTGGAAGTATTTCAATCACTCATTACAAGATAAATAAATTAAATATCCTTATCTTCATAGAACATGTAACAATTTAGTTGATAAGTTTTCAAATAATATGCTTTTATAATATCAAACAATATTTTTTCATGTTGTTTTTAAATGAATATATAGAAATATTACAAAATTATCATTATATTTAAGCACTCTTGTTCATTTAAGACATGTTTTTTTTATTCTTATAAATTAAACTCGTGTGCACAAAATTAATGAATGAAAAGAAACATCTTGATGACTTGCAATTATAATTAACACAATATTTTATGATTAATTTTACTTAGTTAATTTTTATGAACTATTTATTTAAAGATATGATGTTCTTCAATTTGCAATTATTTTTCAGATGACAATAATCCTAAGAGTTATTTGCAATTGTTTGGAAGGATTCTTCTTGCATTTATGTTTATCACTCTGGTTAGAATTGAGTTTTCATTCCTTCAAGTAAGTTTTAATTTTCCTAGATAAGCCATTGGCTGATACTTTTTATTATTAAATTTTGTCACATAACAAGATTCAAGACTGTCTTTCTATTTAGATATGTTATGTTCATTTTTTTCTGATATTTTTACAGCATAAATTTGATCAATAGTATTGTCTTCTATGGTATTTATTGTTGAATTTTGAAAATCTAATAATTGCCATTATAATATAATGGTATTTGCATGAATAAATTTGACGAACTTATCAATTTTAAAATTTGCTAATCACTCAAAAAGCATACATTTTTTTCATGAATGTATCTATGATCATCAGAAAGATTACGAAATTCCTTACAAAATAAAGAAATTTAAAAATCGGACCATTATTAATAAATATACAGTCCATTAGATTTAGTGTACTCAATAATTTCTTCCTCTTTGAGGGTACAGCTTTTACTGGCCTACTACTCTTTTTTTCTGGCTGATATATATCTTATGATTAATTAAAGGCATTTTTGTTGGTATATTTTATGTTATTTAATAATTTAGGAAATCCCATGATCGAGGTTTTATTTGGAATATTATCTTTTCCTTCACCGTTTAAAAATAAGCTCTAGAAAAGTAATTTGTAAAAATATTTTGGTCTATTATGTTAAATGGAATATTGTAACCGACCAAGAAAAACTCAATTAATTCCTCCCTCACATAATACATAGATTGGATCTACTTATTTCCATATTGTTTTGCTATCCTTTCACTCAACAAAATATTCTGAAAATTATTTGCACGGGCCAACTAGTTTTTTTCTAATTTCAACTTAAATTTTGTTAGTATAATTTCATATAGTATGCCTTTAAGGCATGGAACATGGGGATGAATCAAATAATAAAACCATTAATATTTACATCAACAATTTAACATAAAAACATATTTTTGATCATATAAACTGTATAACATTGCTCTATTTATAAATTATTCAAAGTAATTCAACATGAGTCAAAAGTATTCTACCTTTATTTATGGTATGCTTCACTTTTATAATATGCCTTTTGTGTCTGAAAGCAACTCTTGAATTATAAATTATGCTCCACTCCCAGAAATAATATGCACTCCTAAGCAGGCATAAGTGGTCCTACTAAACATTAATAAGAGTTATAATGTAGTAAATTTATAATTATGAAAACAAAGTGTTCACAAATTTTTGATTTGTGTTAAACTTTGATTGCTTGGAATCATTCATTTATATGATAATGTTATGCGGTTTAAATTAGCAAAAGTATGTTTTTAATTAAATTTTTTATGTTGATGTTTAATGGGTTTATTATCTTAAAATATCCCTGCTAATGCTGCTAATAATTTTTAATTTTATATTGAGAAGTCTTCAATTATTCACTACAGTCAACCAACAATCCACTATTTTAATTTTATACATTTCAAAACTAGTGTACAAATACTTTTGACACTAACTGTACCTATTCATTCAAGAATTATCTTGTATTAGTACACAGTCATTAAGTAATGTTTTATAAAATTAAATCATTAAATACTATGTTGGATTTTCTCTCTGTTTAATAGTTCACTTAGTGTATCCATTTCTTATATAAGTTAGGATTTGGGTCATTTTGATACATTAACTCTGTTTTTACACAGGAAATAAGGTTGAAATTCACCAAACTATACTAAGTGACTTTTTGTTGTTAATTGACCAATATACACATGAATAGTAATCAATGGCAGTAATCAATTCAGTCGACTTTTTTTCTCTGATGAATAGCTATTACATTTTTTTTTATTTTGTCATAAAACGAGTAGTTAGCTGTTCAAAAAACCTATTTTACACATTTATATCAGGAATACCATATATTGTTATTTGAATGCTCCAAGTCATATTCTAAAACTTTATCCTGTTATAATTAATCTCAAGAAAAGAATCTATTTCAATTTTCTGGTTCATGTGTATGATTTGTGGAAATATTATTCATAAAAATCCGATCTGGCAGGTCAGTACCCTTTTTTCACAAAAATGTAATCTGTTTGTATGATATTATAATCTTCTGAGATTGTATATCTAAAGAAATCTTGTTTAATTTCAAAGAGGCATTCCCTCATAATCTAACAGTAGTGATTGTATTTTGATAATTATTCACTCCTATATATATATATATATATAATATATATATATATATATATATATTATATATATATATATATATATACATATATAATATATACAGAAACTATATATATATAGAAACATATCTGTATATATATATATGTATATATATATATATATATATATATATATATATATATATATATAATATTTATCAAAATAAAAATGATTTATGTATTATGAAATAATATTTTGTTAATAATAATAATATGAATAGATAATAAAAATATTATTCTTTAATCTTGAGGAACATGTTTTCTTAATGGTTGAATCACATTTATTATTAATCAGTTGCATTATTTTTTTTTTTTTTTAAATATTAGTTAAGGCAATTCTCTCTTGTGATCTCAACTATTGTCTAGGTTAGTGGTATCTCAATTTCTTTAAAGTACTTGAATGGTATTCTTAATGGGTGTCATTATTTGCCATTACTATAGCAATTTATTAAAGAGGTTGTTATTTTTTTATATTAAATATTTATGTAATGCTCTATTTAATTTTTTAATGTGCTAGTTATGTGTAATCCATTATTAATTAAATTAAGACACAAAACTTATATTTGTAGTAAATTTTAATGCCCTGGATGATATTTGAGACATAATAGTGTGGAATAAATGTTAGAAAAAAAGTAACAATGATGAAATATACAGAAAAAAGTCTTAGTCACTAATTTTGTTTTCCGATGCAGAATAATTATATTTTTTTTGTAAAATTAAGTATGCTTATCTTTTAAATACTTTAGAGATATTTTTCCTATTTGTGTTTCTTATTATGTTTCTCTAGTACATTTGAAATTTGGAATATATTATTTATAGAAGAAAGTAAATAAAAATCCCAACAGAATTAATGGTTTTGGTAATGCATTAGCAGTGGAAAAAATAGACACGTTATATAACATAGACCAAGTTGTTTCCTTACCTTATAACATTTCCAAAATATTTTTCAATATATATATATATATATATATATATATATATATATATATATATATATATATATATATATATGTTATATTGGTAAATACGTTGAATGTCATATAAGGTAAAGAAAAAAATAGTATACACACATCGATGATATAAACTTAATATTCAAAATTGGTAACCAATTTTGTTTTATTAACCAATCATAAAAGCTATCATAGATAATTCTTAGCAGTGTGATTCCTGCTATTCATTTCATAATAAATAATAAAAGTATATAAACAACTAATTAATTGAATATTGTTTACACCTTATAAATAAAGAGTTATATTATATTTAAAATATTGAATATAAAGGACCATCTCCTTCCTTTATATTTAAAATATTACTTATTTTAATATGATTAATAAATTTTTCAAATAAACGTTTTGGTTTTTTCAGATTGTACAGGATATAATAGGAACTATTATGATTATCTTGGTAACTATTGGATACAAAACTAAACTCTGTGCATTTGTTTTGGTCTTGGTGTTATCTCTTTTGAATTTATATCACAATGCATGGTGGCAAATTCCAGAATATAAACCTTTAAGAGATTTTTTGAAATATGATTTTTTCCAGGTAAGATTCATTCTCTTTAAAATGGTTTGTTATATTTCTGAAGAGTTTTTATTTATATTTATAGTGGGTATAGAGGATTTTGCAAAAGCTGATAAATTAAGAATCAGTTATTATTAATAGGTATTAATAACCTGAAGGAGTGTTTGATATAGTAAATTATCGTGCATCCCAAATAAACCACAAGCCTCTTATTAACATATTAACCACCATGATACTTTACAGGATGCTGGGATAACAACTTAATTTAATTTAACCATATTATATTATTAAAAACTCTAATTTTAAGAAAAAATATATAGAATGTGTTTAAAAATAAAAGATCTTGCAACTTATATTGTGTGCAGATATTTTTATCTTTATGTGTTATCAGATATAAACCACAAACACTTTTTTTACTTGACTAATATATGATTAATACTGTCATTGGTGATAAATTGTCAGGACGAAATTATTTTTAAGATTTTTATTGCTGCCGACGTTTCAACCCAAGCATCTGGGCCATCATCAGGTCTGAAAATTGTTTAATACAATCAGAGATATAATATTATAAGACAGATAATGGTTAATAATGAAAAAATAGTCTTGGATGATACATGAAATAGACAAATGAAATATGTAATAAGTTATACAAACTAAAAAGTAATGTATATAATCAATTTATAAGAAATGTAATATTTACTCTTACTAACTGTGTTTCAAGTGCTGAAGTTGTTCAAGTACTAGCACTTAGGTTGGGAAATAAGAGGGTCGGTGGAAGATTTTCTAGATTTGCTTTTAAGATAGTAAAGGTAGGTAAGGTTTGTGGAATGCAAATCATTTGATAAATAAAATATTCAAGGTTACATGGGTACAATTGCTACTTTGTTTCTTATAGTTAAAAAATTATGGCTATTAGTTGGTAATGAAATAAAAATAAATCAGAGATGACAGTCGATATAAACATAAAAAAATTGAGTGAAGGTATACAATAGTTTGACAATTAATGTTTGCAATACAGTAAATTGTAAAAAATTGAAATGATAATATCATACAATATTTGTACAATACAGGCACCAATAAAAACCTTAAAAATGACTGCATCCTGATTATTTATCACCTATGATATGTAGAACAGTTGACTAACTTCCTTTAATAATATGATTAACATTATGTGAGTACTTTCATACTTATTCAGAATGGGTTAAGTACTATATGTTTTTCCTTCTAAAAGTATTGAAATTATGAAAACTGAGTACTGCCCATCTCTCATTGAAACTGCATGCCTACAACCCATTGTATATTCCTGTGTTATTTTTCGTTAGGAGTAAGTTGGATTTCCAACTACAAGCTTTTAACCTTAATAAAGCTGAAATAAAATATACCAGATACCAGAGAGTCGTGATTTGCATAAGTAATCATATCTATATTGAACAGATTAGGAAAGATCAAAGAGTTGCACCAATGATAGATAACCTAGAAAAAACCACAGCTCTTATGGTTTGGCCATGTTGACCAAATGGCAATGAGAGTGGATAATTAAACCGAATGCGTTTGTAAACAACCACAAGCAGATCAAGTGGTCGTCAAAAAAAAAAAAAAAAAAAAAAAAACGACAATGTTAGTTTGAATGAGTTGAGACTACTCTGGACCGAAAGTTTCAAGGAGTAAAAAACAAAATAACTCCTGAAATTTGAGTCCACGAAATCTTATGTGTTATGGTTATAAATTATTAATAAAGTAGCTATTTATGTGTAAATCTATTCTAGTTGTGTTCATTTGAAAAACAATTTTTGTTTCAGACATTATCAGTAATTGGTGGTCTACTTATGATTGTTATTCTTGGACCTGGAGGTGTATCAATGGATGAACATAAGAAGAAATGGTAACTCCATTGGAGTTCAAAATATCTGATAATTCCATAGAAAAACATTTCTTACAATGTTTATCCTTTAATAACAAAAGAAAATTCCTCGTTGGAATGTTTTAAGCTTACCTGTTTGAACCAGAGTAGTTTTTGTATCATAGGAAAGTCATTCCCCAATTTTAGTTCGAGGAATTCTAATAAACGTTCTTAATGGATTGGTCTTCATTCTGTGTTTTGCTAGATGTAATATTTATATTAGTTCAGTTTGCATGTTTTTATCTCTGATTATAAATTTTTAATTGTCGTATGATATGATATCTTATTTTCTGAAGTTCTATTATCTACAGAACATGCCATTTCAACGCATAAACTGTTTCCTTTTAGCTGAAGAGCTTTATATTTTAGGAGAGACTGACTTTAAAAAAAAAAAATGTAATTATAATAATTTAATGTAATCAAATGATGGATTTTAACCATCTTAAAGATTTATTTCTGTATTAAATGTCATTTTCTCCACTTCTGATCTTTTGTAAATAATTTTATTTTAGATAGATTAGTTATCTTGGCCCATTAAGAGGTTAAAAAAGTTTTCTGCATGAAATGTTTGTTTTCCAGCTTGCCAAACATCATAATGATAATTTTTTTAATAAATTGTTTTAACTAATGCTGTTGGGTTTCAAACTTAGTTAAAACAATTTTTGTCACTATCTTGCTTAGAAGCAGTATTGACATTTTTACCTCTGTGAGTATAATGACAGTAATATTTAATTTTTTTTAAAACATTATTATGCTCATAGTGACATAATTGTTTTGAAAATTTGTTTCTTACTCTAGCACATAAACTGATTATTAATGGGAATGAAGAATTGCTGAATTTCCTTCCAAACCATATGTTTAAATTGGATGGAACAATTTCAGGTGAGAATCCATTCTCTCACGAGTTCCTTGAAATAAAAATACATAATTTTCTATTTATTGTTTCTATTGTAGTTATTTTTTATTGGAGTAATTGTCAAGCATATTAGTTTCTGTTAAAAAATAATTATGTTAAGAGATAACATGCAACTCATTCCTTTAATCTGTATTTTCTATTTTGTAATTTAGACATTTTTCTCCTTGTCAGTTACATTTTAAATAGTATAATTGGTTTTTGTTATCTATTTGTAGTGCAATAATGAACTAATTCATACTTGTATTTAAACTGTGATATTTTGCATTAAAAAACATTTTACCATCACATTATGGTGACAGATTGACTTGTGGTGTTCTGAAAAATTGAAACAAAACATTTTACCACATTAATAAATTTTTATTTTTAAGTAATTCAAAATCAGCTAATTTATGAATCATTTTGTTTAAAATTATTATCAGATTGTATATATTGTGTATATGTCTATAAAAATGTCTTATATAGTTTGATGTATTTGTGATGTCTATCGAGTCGTTCCATTTCAAAAGTATAATAATTGAAATTTATTTTCTGAATAAAATTTGAAGGGTATATATGTATTTCTCCTTTAAAACCTTTACTTTCCTTTACATTCATCAACATTTTTTATTAACTTTAATTGTTATTAAGTATTTTCAGAATTTATAATAACTATAACCGTGCCTTGCCGTATTTGATTTTAAATATCTAGATTACATCAATCAAATTTTGATATAAGTAATGCTTCAGAAATCTGAGGCATTTATAACTGGAAATGACTGGTCTATGAAAATTTTGGGTAAGTTCAGAGCAGGATGTATAGCCACCATAGAAATAATTGTTGATAGTTTATTTTAATACTCCAATTGTGAAATATATATGATCTGGTGGTATATGCTCACTAAATATTATATAATAATTTAATTCCTCATTCATTCACTTAAAGATGTGTAGATATGTTCTATGATCCGATTCTTGCCATTTATGTATACTTATGGTCAAAAGTTTAAGACCATCTGGTTATCTACATCAAAAATCTATCATGAAAATTAAAAACCTCAGTTACACATAATTGTAAATACATAGTTATATAGAATAACGAATTACAATCAATTTTCTTAATTAGTTAAAAATAAATAAAAATTGTAATTAAACCGAAAGTGACATCTTACTAACACCGACGACAACACTAATAATAAAAACAGCCATAAAAATAAACAATTTGTTTGTTACACCTGCTTTTTTATTTACAAACAGGCAACTCTTCTGGATGGGATTAAGAGATGTCTCTGTCCGAAATTTATTTAGTATTCATTCAAACCTATATAATGTGCAAAGAGTTTCAGTTTGAGATTATTATTGTTTTTTTTATTTAAAAAAAAAATTTATGTTGATCTTTTTAGTTCAATTTACACTTTGTATTGGGTAAAAAAAAATTTAAAAACGGGTGCATAGTTCAATTGCTCGCTATGAAGGGACACTGTCACTGTGATAAAATTCGATCAGAGTTAATTGTGAACAAACCAGTTGTTTCTTCACTAATTACATAAATACAATAAATAATACTAAAAATGAAATAATTTTAATTTTAAACCACACTTAAACAAATCAAATGGGACTAAAAAATTTCATTTGTGGTCCCCACCATGACTATTTTTAGTCAGTCCCATCATACAATGTACAATATGTATGCATTTTAAGTTTTAGATTATATTAGTCCTGCAGTATACTACTTACTGTTTCTTTCCTAATTTATTATCTAAAACCAGCTATTGAATATCAAATTGGCAAGTTACCATTGTCCACATCAAAAAATCAACAGTCAAAAATCTTTATAGAAAACGTAAAATTGATAAATGATGATATCGTTATTAATAAAGTAAAAACAAAAATGTATAATGTCTAATTTGTTTAAGTTCTAAATGGTTTAACTAAATCTATTAATTTAGTTGGCAGCCAATAAGAATTATTAATGAAGTATGGTACAAAAAGCATAGAATTAAATAAAACGAGAACAATGAAAACGAATGGCAAAAGACAAATACCTGTCAAAATAAAAATAAAAACCAAATACGACTAATTATTTTAAAAATAATAGTACTAAAATACATACTAATCAGGAAAATCAAGAACCAAACCTGCCAAATGCCAAAACTATGGAAAATATAGTGAAAAATATTATTCAATAACTCAAATCAAAGATTTGACGAGTAAAATTGAAAAGACTTTTAATCAATATGACCTACCAGAAATTAAATTAGGAAAAAAAAACAGTAAACAAAATAGGAAAAAATATACACAAAAATTAATGATATTATACCACAAAAGATTTCAAATATTTTTAGTTAACTAGAATGTAAAAATTAAAATAATAAATCTTATTTTGGACAAACAGAACAATGGCTTTCAAAAAAACTAATACAATATAAACAAAACTGATATTTCGAGATCAATCAAATCTAATACATCAACCGGCCTTTCACAGCAAACAACTAATAATAAACATGAATTCGATTTTAAAAATGCTAAAATATTATAGAAAATAATGATTATTGGATATATTTATATAACCAAACATTTAAATAATTTTGTTAAGAAGCCAACTGATATTGATAATGTACATATCTTTTACATAAATACAATAAATAATATTAAAAATTAAATAATTTTAATACAATGTACAATATGATGAGAGATGACCACTTAAGTTGATAATTTGTGCTTTTCTTATCTAAAAAATGAAAGACATTGCCTATGTTTTTTGACTAGATATGGATCGAGTAAGGTAATAATAAAATGTATAGATATAAAAGATAGAAACAAAATTATCAAACATAAATGCTAAATATAGATAAAATTGAGCAGTTAAATAATTATTTTTATGTAGGTAAATTATAACATTAATATTTTTAATTGTATAAAATTAAAACTTTATTTATATTGAAAAGATTTTTCAGACTTGAAAATGGCCTGAGTGCTTAGCTGAAACGTTGTCTTATAAAATAACTATGATGTACAAGCATAAAACAATGGCGTACAAGTGTCCTTGATTAAGGAGAAAAAAAAATTGTAAAACAATAAATAGGAAAATCAATCCAGTTTTAAATTTACATCAAAATTGTCCAATTGTTCCATTATTCAATATGCTGATATTGGGTCAGCAAGCACGGTCACTTGGCCATTTATAACGTAAAAGATATGGAAGAGGTGTGCATATATTAATAAAGAAGAGAAAACTAGACGTGTTAAGGTGAGTTAACAACCTACAGTAATTAAGTGTTAGTAGAAATTGGCCACTAAATGTTTGAAAAAGTAGATTATTTCTACTAGGAGAAGCATTGTGAGCTTTTGTATAATTAATTGAAAACGTAAATATCTGGGTTTTTTTTTTTTTTTAATATTATGATAGGTATTGTAAGTAAGCTCCTTAATTCAAAATTGTTTATTCAAAAACTTTTACAAGCTTGGAAAAACTCATCAGATCTCTGAAAATATTTTGTACTACATCTTGTCAATATTTCCATTTGTAAGATAGCATGTCCTTAAGCCTTGTTGACAGAGATGGTAATCTCTGAAAGGCGGTGCTAACGTTTCGTCAAGAAGTATTAAGAGTTCTGTGTATTTTGCTAAAGCTTTTTCCGATTCTCCATTTTTCAAATAATTCTGTCCCAGTCTATATAAGTCCTCAGAATCCTGGAATGTTAACGAAACATTAATTAAATTCTGAGAATTCCTCATTTTTATAATAAAATTTAAAATGTTCTCTCTCTCAACAAAAAATTTTTACAAGAATTTGATTACATATTAAACCTGTTCAATTCCATGTACTTTGTTTTTTCACCTAAATAAACTTTATGAGCGACTTCATTATAACATGAATCTATATATGCTTCATTGAACCATAAAAGTTCAAAAGGATATAAGTGCCAAAAATCATTAGATTTCTTTTTGTAGATTATAGGCCTATGTTTGGAGTAACATGTTACACTGTAAGTGTGATTTTATTACTTATTCAATCACAATTTATCAGAGAAAAGTGTTCATTTATTTATTAATATCATTTGTAATTTTTTAAGATTACAAGTTGGAACTTGTAAACTTAAATCATTCTAAATTTTACTGAATGTACTTTGACCCTTTTGCATTTTCATATTTCAGTTATTAATCCATGAGTAGAATGATATTAGAATTGACTGACCCTAGAAGCAGTGCTTTCCCTAATACTACTGAACCACACACCCTTTATGGGTTGTAGTGGTACTGGGTTTTATATATATATATATATATATATATATATATATATATATATATATATATATATATATATATATATATATAATAAAACTTAAAATGTTCTCTCTCAACAAAGAAGTAATTTTTTACAAGAATGTGAATACATATTAAACCTGTCTTTATATGCCCAAGCCAGATTTAAATTGGTATCACTCTGTTCGAAAATGTTAAATTTTATGCTTTAACATGCTCGGCCACCACAAGCTCTTGAACTATACAGTTAATTGGACTTTTTGTGAGTAATTTCTAAGTAATTGACTGCTAAATATTGGAGGAGCTGGTCCCCCTTCATAAAATACTAGAGGACCAGAAAGTTCGTTGCTCCCCTGGTGCCAATACCTTTGTCAACTTCTGTAGGTTAGCCTATTTATTATGAATTCAATCAACTAAAATCTTGATATCATTGATTACATTAAATGGTATATAATCTTACCTGTAGAACTTTAAGTCCCTTTAAAATGTTTATATTTTTACCGCAGGCTGAGCATTTGATTATAAAATCAGTTGTAGTTGTTGGAACAATAATTACATTGGTACATCTCTTGTTATCACACCTAAACCGTAATCCGTCATTATCCATTTCATTTAGTAAAGGCCATTCTTCAGTGCAAGGAATGCATTTACAATCAAACCAATATCTTTCTCGCAATTCATTTTGTCTTCTACTTTTTTCCACTTCAGTAAAAATTGGTCCATAATTTTCAGATACAATTTCACCAGCTCTGATTGGTTTTATTGCTTTGGCAAAAACTTTAGTACCTTGAAAATACCTAAAAGTAAAGATAATTACTATCTGTAGATAAATCGATATAAATTAGTAATATAGTTATAAAAAATGTAATTCACTACCTGACAAAACATGGATCACATGAATGGTTGAATAAAGCCAATGTGGGGTACAAGCCACCCCCAATAAACCTTGATTTGCTTTTAGTCAAATCTAACTCTAAGGTTTGTAAATCAAAAATTTCATGGGCATTAAACTGTAATAATTGCAAATTCTGCAACAATAACCCACCTATCAGAGTGAAATACTTCTTTTGTTCATTACTTGGAATATCTGCAAGCAGTTTCAGATTTATTGTAATAATTAATCTCAGGTGGAAATACAAATTTTAATTTCTACTAAAGATTGAGGTCATCGCTTGGTCTTAAATTTTAATTCAAGTTAATTTCTAATTATAATTAAATTTTCAAAATAACATGAATTATAAAATATATACCAGATTAAACAAAAATAAAATTTCAGTCAAATTATCTCACAAAATAAAAAATATTGCATACTTTGCATTGAGGGCTAAAAAATGTCACACTACCTGTTAAAAGTATACATCATTCATACACACTGATATTTATTTATATAAATAATCAGTGTAAAATTATAAGAACAAAATTATTAAAACAACCTTTAAAATAACTTGTTTCTTCTAGACAGCGGAATAAAAACACAGCTATATAACTCTTATGTATCAGCGCATCTATTGTTCTTTTTTCTTCATGTCTCACTAATTGATTTACAGCACAGTAGTCCTTAAATGAATACTGTTTTTTATTCCATATCTGGTCTTTATTGTTTTCCTAACGTAAAACGAAAAATTTAAGTTTATATTAATGAAAATTTATCAACTCTATTTTTAAGTTAAGGTTTCAATTTACAAAGAATATTATACCATCAATATGTTTTCCAAATCAAAAAAGTATTGAGGATTTTTCTGGCTTATTATTCTGAGAGCCATGAGACATGTTATGGATATACCAGATTCCCATAGTGCTTGAAGTATTGGGCATTCAATTAAATGGTAAGTGCTCAATGCCAATTTTTGGCACCTTTCACTGCAAAATTTAACTCTGTCGCAGAGTGGGCATGGTTCCCCAGCTGCAATGCTGAAAATATTTCCAAAGTTCCATATAAACCTAAAGCCTATCTTAATTTAATTCATATTATATTGCACTTTGAAAGCTTTTTCAATAGCTAAAACAATGATTTCATATTCTCCTAACAGTAATGTCCAAAACCTTCAATATCACAAAGCATTTCAATTTAAATGCATTCGCTATTGTATTACTTTTTATCAACATAAAATAAACAGAATTTAAAATTTTTAATTTCTTTATAATTATATATTATGTATCACACCTTATTGCCAATTAATATTATAATATAATTATAATTATTCTTATTGTCAATTCAAATAAAACATGAAAACTTAGACACGGACTTTACTTTAGAGGAACTTTCACAAATTTTGGGAAAGTCGAAAAATAAGAAAGTCCCAGGCCTGGACCGGATCCCATTTCATTTTTGGAAAAATATTCCCAAAGAGATCTTAAGATTTTTTATTGTAATTTTCAACAAATTTTGGATCGGACAAAAAATCGCGTATAATTTCACAAAATCTATTATTATGCCAACTTATAAAAAAAAAGGAGAGACCAACAATGTAAAGAACTATCGGGGCATCTTATTAATCGACACCATTGCAAAAGTTTATCCTTAATAGGCTCACCCAATGGACATTAACCAATGATATAATTAATGAATGACAAGCTGGCTTCTGTCCTGGCTACAGTACAGTAGATAATATTTTTAATTTATTCAATATAATAGATATAAAATTTTATTCTAATCAAAAAGTTCACTTGTTGTTCGTGGATTTTGAATCAGTTTTTGACAAAATAAATAGATAGTATTTCTTATCAATATTACATTTATTGACCAAAATAGTTAAAAAAATACCAACAAACAATAATGAAACCAAAATAAGAATAGATGGTGTACAATTTCACCAACCAATTGAAAACGCCACCACAGTCTCCGGGCATAAATGCCAGAGAACGTAGAGGGTACATGTTGGATTTGAAAGAATGAAAAATATAATTTCTTTACAAATTATTTTTAAAAACTTCGTCTCAGTAATGGCGTAAAATTGGACAATCAAAATTTTGTTTTGTCGATACCAAGAAGATTTCAGAATGTCATAGATGCCAATGGTATACACAATATTAATAAATTTCCAGTTGGTGAAATAAACCTTAAATTAAAGTGTGCCACTACTCTTTTGGCCGTGTTGAAGTGATTTTTCGTTTGCGGAATTTTTTAATTAAGTAAATTTAAATATTTTCACCCCAATTATGTATTTTTCTAAATATTTTATTAAATAAAAATGTTTAGCAAATCAATTTCAGATTCTTTTACAATGAAATCTGAAGAAAGTTAAGTGTGCCAATACTTTTTTTGATCCACTGTAAGTAAATGCAATATGTTATAAGATGGAGGAATTAATTCTCAGCTGATTACAATGGTTTTGTTATTGAAAACAATAAACAAAAAGATGTATACAATTCCAATATGCTGTATTTTAGTTAATATGGTCCAATTTCAACAATTTTTTTTTTTAAGATTTAGAAACCTTTCATTCACATTATAGTTCAATATAATATAATGGTGATAACTTTCTAAACTTTTGTGAAATATTCTGAACACTACTAAAACTCATTTATGATTTATTCCGTATTTTTGGGTAGCTAAATCCATTAAAATTTAATTTAATTATGTTTGTTTACGCTGACATACTATTGACTGGTTTGCCCTTCTTATGGCAAAGACTGATTTTTATTGTTGCCATTGTATTATCGTCAATCCTCGTTTCTAATCTCTTGAAAGAAAAAGGATTGATTTGTTTTGATTGGAGCTAATAGTAAACATTTAAAACTGTGTCAATACTTTTTGATCTTCAAAATTTACTCTTTATTTGTACTTCAAACACAGCTTTTGAATTCTGAACATACATTGCTTCTAAAGTACAATACTCAAAGAGCACTTGGTTATGTAAATATTACTTCTGGGAAATATCTTAATCCTATTGAAATTTGCATAAAAATTGGAGTGTGCCAATACTTTTTTGACCTACTGTATTTCCATTTGATCACAACCATTATTTGAACTATTTACATGAGTTAACTAGTAAGGATTATTTTTCAATTTGTTCATTACAAATATTAGACCAAATACTTTCTCATTACATATATAACTAGTATATTTGATAAATAGTAATATTTTTTGTTAATTGTACATTAGGAACCATGTTTTACATTTATAATTAATGTATATGGATGTGCATGAGTTTAAATAATATTTTAAGATTAACATATTCACATAATTAGTAATTTCAAATAATTATAAATTGAAAAAATACCTCTTCATACAATGAAAACAATGGGTTTCACACTGATTTTCTAGTAATACAGAACAGTGAGGATCTTCACATAAAAATACTTCTCCTAGTTCTATATCTCTTTTAGCTTCCGCATATCGGCCTGAATATTGGTCATATTTTATTTCAATAGAATTATTTAATGCTGGATACAATTTATTGCTTTCGCCATGGATCCTGTCTTGCTTCTTTTGTTTTATTTTTTCTAAAAAAAAATAGTAAACTAATATATATTATAGAAATTTTTACAATATTTTATTTAAAATTTTATTACCATCTGCAAGTTTATTTTTTGTCATCATTGTTATCATAATTTGTAAATCTTTTTGCCATTTCATTCTTCTCTCCAATGGTAATTTTGCATCATCCAAAGCAATTAGAGTTTGTTTCAGAATATGTAAAGCTGCTTTATTTTGTTTTAAAGCTAATAGACATCTAGCCTTTCTAGATAAAAAATAAATAAAAGTCTTAGCGAACCTGAAGGTTGGTTATCCCTTAATATAAATGGTCACGTTTTGCATCCATAAAGAACCTTAGGTAGGATCATGACTTTATAGATTCTAGTTTTTAAGTTTCGGAACAGGAAGGATAGCTAGATAAAAAATAATAATAATATATATTGTGATCTTAATTTTAATTTATGTACAATTGTTGTTTCTACTTGTTTTTTGTAAAGTCACTCAAGTAATATTGATTTATTCATCAAAGGATAATGCTTTATGCAAGCATGATAAGAAATACAATCAATGACTAAGTACTTTTTTTATTCTTTCTTTTTTATATAACCAAGTCCAAAAATATACGACTGGAATTTGATGTGTTCAGAAAGACATAGAGTAAGTACAAATAACTTATTAAATATACTTTATGGACATTTAATAATAATTAATAATTTTATGCTTCAATATTAAGACGTAAATTGTTTTAAAATAATTCTGCATTACCTGTCTTTAATCTTATAAATCAAATCTTTAGGATATCCATGCCTTAAAGCTGCCTCAATGTCATTTAGAGCGGCTTGATATTCTTCTAAATGATATAATGCTGCTGATCGATTTGCTCGTATAATAGATATTTCATTATTTTCTGAGAAAATAAATAAATAAATAGAATAAGATTAACATAAGAAGTTTTCAAGGAAATTCAATTTTTCTCTGTTTACCTTTCCTTGCTCAAAAATAAATAGGGTCATGTTAGTTATATGTGATTTATTTTCCCTTCAATTTGAATTTTATCTTTATCGTGTAATGCATTGAAAACTAATATAAATAAGATTATATTTGATGTCAGGAAATTTTATTCACATCGCTAGGGGAATTGTGTGCCATAAACATGGTGATACTGCTCTTAGTTGCTGAAGGTTAAGAAGATACAAATGGTGGACAAATTCAACATTCAACACTTCTTTTAGGCTCTGTCGGGTACTATGAAAAGGGTTGCTTCCTGCAATAATACCAATATTTCTGTCATCACTTGATGCCATAATGTGCTGAACTTCACTAACAGGTCTCTTATTGGTACTTCCAGTTTTTCTGAATGTGGTTAAAATTTAGGAGACCACAATTTGGGATACACCAACTACATCAGCGATATCCACTTGCTGGTGCCCTTGACCATTCATTCTTAGGATAATACTGTGTACTTGTGGTTCAATATGATGTCTTTCCTCCGTTAAACAGAATATTACTGGCTTCAAGTTGAGAAAAGTCTAAAATAACCCTTGGTTTATAAATTTAGTATTCTTTATGTTGACTATCTTTTAGTTACTAACTTATTAAAAATAAAGAATATATGTTGTTTACTTTTTATGTTTACCAACAAATAAAAGAATCTCTAACAAAAAAATTAATAAGATATTTTAATTAAAACTAATAAAATAAGCATTAGATAGAAATATCTCTATTCATTTTGAGTCGTACGTACATCAATAGATTGTGAGTATCCTTTAGTCTAGAAATTTATTTTTTATATTTTTATTGTGTAGCAACGGTTTTAATAATGTATGTTTAAAACTGGATTGATACCTAAATTTTGTATTTTGTGATTAATATTTTATTTGAAAATTTATATAAAGTACTCTATAATATCAATTTATATTCAATGGTCTTAGAATAGAATAGAATAGGATAGAATAATAACATTATTATTCTGGGACGAGTTCCCTTAAGAATAACAGAATATTACAGAAAAAAAAAGAATAACATCTGACCAGAAAACTTGTTACATTAAAAAGAAGCTTTAAGTAAATAAACTATAAATACAAAATAAAACCAGTGAGACTATTTACAAAATACTACAATTATATACAATACAAATAAGAAATTAAAAAGACTGTGAAATGAAATAATCGCTGTATAGTTAAAAAGAATAATGAATATAATAATCAAAAGAAGAGAGAAGAGAGAGAAACACTTTATTTTCATAAAAATACAAAATATAAAAGATTGCTGCCCAATTATATTGGGTTGCTATATACACAGCATACTCTTTAATCCTTAGGACAATAAATGAACTTATATATAAATATACAGAAGTGTTAGTTTTTATTAGTAAAATACATATATACATTTTTTTTCCCTTCCTTTCATTGTTTTTTTCTTCTTTTTCTTTTACATTTAGTTTCCCTTTCTCTCACTTCTCTCTCTTTATCTCTATTGTTTTCAATTTTTCATTAAATAAATAAATACATAAATTTAAACTCTCTGGCTAGTCATGCAGGTGGTGGTGAATGATTCTCAGGGAGTCGAGGACTATATTTTCAGCCAATCTCGCTACGTTCTTATTATCGACACCTCGTTCCTCGAGGAAGCTCCTTGTTCTTTTTGGAATTGTTCCGCGAGACCCAAACCAGAGGACTCTCATAGTGAACTCTCTCTCTCCGAAAGTCTCACGGAATTTCTCTTTTAGGAAAGGGATACATTTATCGTACGTGTTCTTCTTTTCCCTTTCCACTTCACCCGCCTGATCGAGGTCATTGCTCTCAAATCGGACAGTTGAATCCAAGATCAGCGCTGTCCTTCCTGTCTTGGGAAATGTGACGATATTCGAGTATGCCGATTAAAAAAGGCAATAAAAAAACGAACAAAAACAAACAAAAAACAGTTGAATACAAAATAAGGTCCTTTAATAAACGAGCAACAAATTTCCTATGAATAAAAGAAAATTTCAATTCATATTGAAATACACATACACATACACCGAAATATATACATAAAGAGTGTTATCAAAAGAATGATTGTGTGCAAAAAATATATACATTATGTAATTATGTATAAAAGGTCATAAGTAACATGTACAAAAAAAAAAATTAAGATAAAAAATACTGTTTTTTACATTATTACTTATAGGTTAGCCATTTTCTGACTGTTGTGAGAAAAGAAGTTGGAATAGGAGAGTTTTTTTAAAAAGTGGATATGGAGGGAGCATGTTGAATTTTTAGATGTAAAGAATTCCAAAATGAAGCAGAGCGAACTACGAATGAGTTTTGAAATGAGGCAGATCTGTGAAAAGGAGTATAAAGTTCTGATGGTCGGGATCTTGTAGTGAGAGAGTGGACAGAGCACTTGAATTGAAGAAGATCATAGGTATAGGAAGGATGACGACTGTTTGATAATTTGATAGAGGAATGTGCCTAGAAAATATTGTCTATGGAAGGAAGAGAAGAGCCACCTTAACGCAGCTTAGTGATAGGAGACCCCCAGGAACTTCGTGGGTTCCCAATGACATATCTGACAAAGCTATACATAAGTCTTCTCAGTCTGTCACCGAGACACACTGAGGGACCGCCGCACACCACGCAGCCATAACCAAAGTGGGGGAAGATTAGAGAAGAAACTAGGAGTCTTCGAGTAGGTTCGGGCAGAAGATGGCGGAAGCGATGGAATAATTTTAGAGTAGAAATTGATGGTCGAGCGATGTGGGAAATGTGATAATTCCAGGAGAGGTTTTAATCAATGACAAAACCTATGTTTTAAACAGAGGAGTAGAAGATGAATGGGTTAATCATTTAGGGAAAGTTGGAATTGGATCAGAGGAGGGGCTTGGAACCAATGGCAATGGCCTGAGGAGTACTTCTAGGAGCACTTAACCTTAATCTGTTTAAGTTTGCCCAGGCACTGATTCGATGTAGGTCTTCTCGGATCTTAGTAAATGCTACCAATAACTCAGGGGGAGAAAAGGATAGATATATTTGAGAATCATCTGCATAAAGGTAATGGGAACAATGTAGAATTGAGTCATGTAGGTCATTAATAAAAAAACTAAAGAGGAGAGGAGATAAGCTAGATCCCTGGGCAGAGGATAAAGAAAGGTAGGCAGATAGTGGTTGATGAGGTATGGAGACTGCTTGGGTACATTGTGAGGGTAAGATTGGAACCAAGAGATGGAGCTATTGGAGAAGGACAATGATTTAAGTTTGTTGAAAAGGATGGAATGGTTAATGGAATCGTAGGCTTTGGAGAAGTCAAGAAGTATAAGGACAGTTAATTGTTAATTATATATTGCAGTCTGATCATCATTAGTAATTCTAATCAAGGTGGATTGTGGGGAGTAGATGGGAGGGAAACCAGATTGGAAAGGATCAAGTTGGTTGGACTTTTCAAGGAATTGGAAACTTGGGATTGCACCAATCTTTCTAGTGGTTTTGAGAGATTAGAATGAAAAGAATTGAGATTAGGCCGAAATCTTCTGGAGAGGATGGATTAGGCTTTCTATTTAAAGAGAGGACAATGGCTTTTTTCCAAGAGGTAGGAAATATTGAGTTCTGTAGGGAGGAATTGTAGATCAAAAGAAGAACTGGGAGAATTTCGGGGAGACATAATTTCATCAATTTGACAGGAATACCATCTGGTCCTATGAAATTGGCATGGGATTTCATCACAGCGGTTAATAGACCAGTGCAGGAATTTTCGGAAAAATAAAAGTCATCATCATTAAATGACAACTTATACTTCTAAGATTAAATATATTTATAATTAAATCATAAAATAAAGGGAGAGCTTAATATATATATATATATATATATATATATATATAAACAAAGCTAATCAATATTTATAAAATGTGAGACAACTCCTTTACATTGAACCATGTTGTCTAGAATCATCTAATGATTATTGCAATAAGACCTGTCAACATACTTTAAGACAACTTACATTGACTAGAAATGAGATTGATAGTCCAACCTTATTTATCCTATATGGGAGAGGCAAGACAAATAGAGAGACAGCTCTGGGACCTAGGATCCGAAGGGGGTCTAGCCTCCACTACAGTAATTTATTTTAACTTCTAAATTTAAAGTATAGATAGCATATTACTTATGCAATATCTTTACACAATATTTCTGTTCCACTTTATAAAAGGCTTCTGTTTAGTTTTAGTGATAAAGTTAATGTTTGACGAGCATGTGGTAAAATTATTCCTGCTGTCCTTGGAATATCTCACAATTAATTCCTAAATCCTTAATAAAATCTAACACCATGCTTTTCTGATTTCTGTAAGATATTCACACTTATTTACAAACAATAATATTATTAACCATGCAAATAATGGGGTGAAATTTACCTTCATCTATAGGTGACTTCATTAAACTTTTTGTATACAATTTTAATGCTAAATCATAATTAGCAGTTTGAAAAGCATTGTTTCCATTATTTTTTATTATCTTAGCTTCATTTTTATCCTTACCATTACTTGTTTTATTTATCATTGGAAATATTACTTGCAATCCATTAATATAATCAAATCTCTGAAAATCATTCTTTAATTTTGAAAAATGAGTTAATTGATTATCATTTAATCCTTTTTTAAAATTTAAATAACATTGCTTCAAGTAAGCAGTATCATTGGATTCCAGCATTTTACCAATCTATAAATCTAATAAATAGACAAATTTTTAATATGTTTGTCCTTAAAATAAAACTAAACATGAGGATATCCTATTAGATGCCTAGTTCACAGCATTTCATAATTAGATATCTATTTTTAGGATATTGGGATAGAGTAATAAAACAACAATGCTTGGTTTGAAAATTTTATTTTCAAAATTAGTGCAAATATTGGAAATAAAATTCATGACTTTTTAGTTTACTCTTAAGAGTTGGTTCATTTTACTGTCTTTTTCCTCAAGTTAAGCCAACTAAAGAAATAGTGGGGAATATTAAAAATAGCTCATTATCAACTAATAAATTTATTTCACATTTATAATAATTCCTTTAAATAACTAATATATATTAAGTTAAACCAATCAATTAGTATACCTCAATTAATATTGAATGAGGCCTGGAAAAAGTTTATATAATGAATCACACTAATCATAACTGCAATATATTTACGAAAATAACCACTTATAAGTTTCTGAAAAAATGAAATTAAAAAATTAGAAATTAATGCAAGGGCCAGTTCTTAAACTCAGCTCGAGCCTCATCGATGCCATCGCTTAGGATTTTGAGACGGTCCGTTGCCATCGATCAGCTCAGCGCTGAGTTTAGGAACTTACCCCACCATTTAACTCCATCTACGTAACCTTCATGTGGTTACCCAAGAAATTGTGGTCCTTCCCGGGTTCTGAAATGTTTGTTTTGTAGGATTCTTTCTAATATTTATATACTGGACCAATGGTAATAATTTAAATATGGCTTTTAATTTTGGTACTACTCCTACTTTTGGTACTTCTACAACTACTGCTTCCTCTTTTGGTTTTGGCACCAACACAACTGCTTCTAAACGTAAGTTATCAATTACTGCCAGTTGTACTAATAAAAATTTAATCATTTAACTTTCGCAATTACTACTTCTTCGAATGTTAATTCGTTCATTGTTTCGAGAATATTCTATAGTGATATTACCATGCCCTGATGTACAATTTGTTTTTTTATGAAATAAATGAATTAAAAGAAAAAGTGTACCCATCAAAGTCAAGGCTATTAAAATTCCGTAAACAATATTACTTTTTGATCCATTTTGTTGTTCATTCATGTCAATATCTTCTAGAATGTTTCTCTTTTCTTTCCCATATACAGCTACATACTCTTCCATAATACTCATAAAAGTTATCTTTCTTTGCTCTTCACTACTATAGAAGTCATTTAGTATTGTGAGGAGATTTTTTCCTTTTAGTTCCAATGGTGTATTGCATACAACATTATCTTTATCAATTAAAAATGATTTATTTATGTGAGTTTTTTCTATAAGCCAGCTCCATTCTGATATTGAGCATCTTATAGGGTTCTGACTAATATCCAAACTATTTACTGTTTTCATTAACCGATCAGCTTGATTGTTGTCCACGGTAGTAATATTACTGTTTTTCAGGCTAAAAAAGAAAATAGCTTCACTTTTTTTTAATAGATACATTATTATTTTGAGCTTGAATCATTCAACACGTACCTTATCACCCTTAGTTGATGGAACATTTTTTTGGAATTCAGTAGCATGTTAACTATTTTAGGACTTGTTTCTAAATTAAGTTTAATTAAATGTGATGGCAATGAAGTTACATCTTTCCCATAATATGTAATTCTTATGAAATGGAGTATTTTCAAGTTTTTCAATTGGTTTAGAAACTGAAGATCATTTATGCTGTAGTTTTCTGAAAACAAAAATAATAAAATATGATTATTACTATTCTACTTTTTTAGTGTTGTTTATTATTATTTAATTAGTATAGAATACCCAAAACTAATTGTTCCAAACTGTCAACCTCATGAATAGTAATTCCGTGAAAATTGGCATTGTCCATTAATTTTGCTGAAAGGTAGAGATATTTCAAGTTCGGGTATGAAAATCCTGTAATTTCTGCTGATGTAACTGATGATCCCAAAGAAAGATGTCTTAATGAAGGCATAGACAAATTATGTTTAGGCCAGTTTTTAATTGAATTATTACCTAACTTTAATTCTTCCAAAAATTCCTGAAATATTTGTATGTTTATATTTATCATATCAAGACTATTTAAACATGCTTTTAATTATTTAGACTTTTAAATATATTTTATGTCTTATATTTATTATTAGTTAAGCCTTATTTAATTTTTTTTTTATTCATTGGATTACCTTTAATTTTTTGTCGTTTTTGCTAGTAGTAAGGTATAAAAATAAAAAATAAAAATCTAGTGGTTTAAAATCACCATTAGCAGTCAGTTTAATATTTTATAAAATTAAAAATTCTCAATCCCGTGATAAATAAATAACACTGAATTCTGAAATTTCGGTTGAAAGCTGCTGACTATATTTTTAACTTTCATTAGTTTAAACTATTACAGAATAGTCATCCCATCCAACTTGTGCAAAATGAACTGAATATCTGGGTATAATTATCTTTAATTCAGATGCAGTTATAAATCTGATCATCAGTTTTCAGAAACAAATGATATTAGCATTACTGTGGAATAGAAAGGAGCCTATTTCGCTGCGGTGGGGAGTACCTGGGCAATATTACCTCGTCTATTCCACTAAAGCGTTGCTTAACTCCTAGCACCTGTTGTGGTGGGCAGTACTGGTTAAATAGTACTTTAATCCAGTAAGAGAGCTTTCTTAAATTAGAGGGGTTCCTTTTTTGCCCATCCCTTCACTCAGGTTTCTAGATGTTACCAATGGTTGCAATAATGATTATACTTAATTCTGCAAGCTTTGTTTATTGCCAAGTTTTGGTATCATCACCTCTAAAATGATTATGGCAGTAAAAAGAATTTTGAGTTTATATAATTAATAAAAAAAATCAATATCAGCATAAAACTAACTATAACATTAGAAGTGTTCAGATTTACACCTAGATAAATACTAATATGTTATTTCCTATTTTATCCTACTTAAATTATTAATTAATTGATTGCTAGAAAAAAAATTATTTATTAATTTTTTTTGTTATTTATCAAAATAAGGTTGTTTTTTAATTTTTTAATAACTGTATGCAACAACTGCCAAAGGCTAGCAAAGAAATGTGACTGTGCTTCTGGAAAGAACATTTCTAGCAACTTCTTAATCAAGGAAAAGTCAAAAACGAAAGAAAACGTGGACCACATTGAGGGCTTGGCTCCATAACAGCAGATGTACTGGATGTGAAAACATATTGAAAGGTCCTATGTAAAAAATAAGAAAAGTCCCCGGCTGGTCAATCTGCCATCAGAGCAAGTTGAGGAAGAAGACCGTAAGAGCCAAGTTACTACAACTAATCCTAATAAAATATGGGAAGATACTAGAGGCTTGGATTGCTGTCGTAATTTACCTTATCTTAAATAAGGTCTCCGTTTATGATTGTAGAAATTATAGTGGTATAGCACTCCTTCCTGTTGGCTACAAGAAAATGGCAAATATCCTACCAAGCTGGATTCAGAAGAGCAAGAAGCACGCTACTTCAGGTTTTCATTCTGAAGCAGGTGCTCAAAAAACAATAGGAAGTAGTTCAGGATGTACAGGGTTTTATTTGTTGAGTTAAAACCAGCCTGTGATTCTGTGGGCAAAAACTGTCTTAGGAAGATGAGCTCAAAGCTCCCGGAAAATTGGTGAAATTGACAAAGACTTGTTCAAATGATTCTAAAAGTTAATTCCTGGTACAAGGAGAAGTATTTGAAAACCTTAAAAATTTGATCTGCTTTACAGTTCAGAGATAAACTCTTGCCGATGCTGTCCATGTTCTCAGCTCTTAAGAAGATGATAGGAACTTCACGTGAAAATGGAAGGGTGGATTTTGGAATTAACCATAAAATCCTTAGATTTACAGATGATATTCATGAGAAATTGTTTCCACAGCAAATTGTTTCATATTATCCTCTAATAACATTGACAGAAATAAGGCACAGCATCTTCTTGGTTTTCTGTTACTATTTTTATAAAATAATGTGTGTTTTTGAGCTAAAAAAACAGTTATTGGCTATGCAAGTGGGTGTCTTCAAAAATCTGATGTAAAAAGGAAATGGCACTTCCAATTGAAGTACACAAATAAGAGATAGTCCTCTGCAGATAAAGAATTGGCCATTGTGAGTTCTCGCACACCTACCTACTAAGAGGACTTGTTCCCACGACCTGTGAGAGCTGTCATGTCCAAAGAACTGTAAAACACATTTTACAATACAATACTTCCCTACACTTAAAAATATTAGAGAACATTTAAAAGACAACGAAAAAGCTGTTAAAAAAAAAAATTAGCCTAAAAGCGGTGAAACTATATAATATAATATAATTTAAAGGTGTTACCAATGTTCCTGCAGGATAGAGGAAACAAAAAAAAAACTAAATGAATAAATCTTATTTATTTGCTAAGGGTTTTATCTAGTATATTACCATGCTATTTAGGCTTTCCATATCAATATATTGTATATCATTATTTTCCACATTTAAAATTCTAAGATTTTTTGGCAGCTCTGCTGGTATTTCCAATAGTTGATTATTTTGTAGATTTAAAATCTGAAGATTTAGAGTGTCTTTTAAAGATCCAGGTATTATTACTTTAAGATTATTTCCATCTATATGTAGTTCTGTTAATAGTTTAAGATTACTAGAAAATATTAATAATTTGTGAGACATTATTACAATATCTGAGCTTATAATGTATTGAATACAGCCTAATGATGCAAAATTAATATCTTTAATTAAATATAATTTATTGATTTACCTCAATGTGTCCTCTTCAATGTACTCAATATGGTTGTTAGTTAGTATTAGAATCATTAACTGATTCATCTTACTAAATGCTCTATCTTGTATAAAAGTTAGGTTGCAATTAGAAACATTTAATATGTGTAACATAAAACTTATTTCTAGTGCTTCTTTCTCTATTACTCTGAGATCCCCTTGTACCTAGTAATTCACATAAGTTTAAGCATCTCATTACTGATAATGTACAAAGAACAGAGCTAAATTAAGGATGGAAAGCACTCTTAGAGTGGACGTTTTTGTTTTTTAGTTATTAAAAAACCAACTTTTAGGAAATGAATTCTTTCATTAATTAATAATACAAAAATTGACATTTTTACATTATTGACCTCTTTATTTAACCATGCTGAATAAAGCCAGTGATTGAGTTAATGCTGTATTTTTTTAATATGAATATTCAATAAGTAAATAGTTTTCATTAGGAAAATAACTAACAATAAAACTGCTTAATGATTTCATTGATGATAATATTCTCATGCTTAATTCTTTAATATGTTTATTTAATTATAAACATTTATTGAACTAAAAATTAATTGTGTGGATGAATGAGATATATTTTGAAGACTATTCTTATTGAAAAAACAGCAACCTCATTTGATCAAGTAATTTTTAGTGGATTACTAATTTGACTAAGAGGATCACAACATTTGATGGTAGTTATTAAAAAGAATTTAATTATTTAAAAGAAAAAGAAAATATTTTTAAGAATCATTGAAAAAATTGATCCTACTTCAGTATTTTATGTATTACAATTTTTTGTATACATACAGAGAGTATTTTTTAACATTGATGATTAATATTAGAACTATCCAAAAGCTTGATAATTGTGTATACTATAAATTTCAAGATATTATTCCTTTCTTTATATTAATGTTCCTTAAGTGGGTGATGTTTAAATCAGACCCAGTCATTATAAAGTTCTAGTTACATATTTTACCAATTTGTCAATCCATACCTACTGTTATGTTTGTCAGAGCTTTGTTTAATACTAAATGTATTGGAATTTACTTACAATTAGTGATTTTACATCTGGTGGCAAATCCATCTTTGGTAGATGTGTACACTCTATTTGTGAGAATTCATTTGTTTTAAGTGCAACAGATCTTTTGCACCCTTTTTCTAACTCAGCACACCATAATAATCCAGTGAAAATGCATGTTAAAATTATCTGTTTTGTAAAAATGTAATAAATAATTAATGTAATTAAAAATAATATTTGTGTAATAAGGTTCTTTAAAATAAATGTATGTAAAAATTGTAATCACTGCTGGCAACCTGATAATAAAACCTTCTTGTGTAAGTCATATTGGTTCTTCAAATAATTGTTTCTCTTAAGTTTTGATAATGAGTCCCTGACTATTGCTTCCTGTTGATAACATGTTAATCACTGCAAAAGTAAGATAATTTGATAAGTCATGAGACTTATTCATCTTTAACTCTCTGCCTATTTTGAAGAATTTTTCTTCTGATTTTGGCTATTTATAAACCACATTAAACCATCTTTGATTATGTTTTATTCCTTATAACTTTCTTGTCTGAAGCATTAGTTTTATTTTTTTGTCAGCTGCCACTGGATTTGGCACAACAAGTTTTTCTTTTGGAACCGCATCCACTGGTACAACTGGCTTTGGAACCACTACTACCACAACTGCACCTGGCTTTGGTATGTAATTTATCCCAACCCCAATAGCAAGATTTTGATGGTAACAATTATCGCACAAGTTTATAAAATCAATTTGTAATCTTTGTGTTGACCATTGATTTATCTGAAAATCATTTTCATAGTTTTTCTTAGTTTGTTATAATGTTGTATAAGTGTTTAAAAAATTAAAAATATAGGAAATAATTACATTTAACTGTTGGTGTTATATCTAGCTTCATGTCTTGAGAATAATGTTATTTATGTTAAATTAAGAAATTAATTCAGTAATGTTCTCAAATTACATCGATTCATATATTAATAAATTAAATATCAAAATAGAAGAAAATAAAATCTACTAAGCAATTAAATTAGTTTTGAAATATATATTTGTAACTGCATGTTATGTATATTGTTAATTGCATGTCATTTCGTCCTCTATCAGAATAGAAATGAAAATAAAATAAAAACAAAACAAAGAACATTGTGTAATTTAGGGGGATTCGGTACTACCTTTGGAACTGCTACAACACAGCAGCCTAACTTTGGTTTTGGTACTCCATCTGCAGCAACGACAACAGCTAGTACTGGATTTGGTGGTTTCGGAACATCCACTTTTGGCACCGCAACCACTACAACTCCTTCTTTATTTTCTGGTTTTGGTCAGTCGAATACTACTCCATCAACAGGTACTGAAATAAACTTGTTTTTTGCATGCACACTCAAAATGGATTCTTATAACTGGAAATTGTTTTAAATAATTGTGGCGACCATATTTGTGCTTAATTGTCTTCATTGTCCAAATACATGGTGGAAATATGTGTAGTAATTACTAACAAACTTGTATCTTTTCATCGACTGAGTCTGTTTATAATAATTTTATATTTAAGAAGACATTCCATGTATTACTTTTTACATAGTCTGTTTAGCAAAAATATTTAATATGTCAGCAACAGTAAATCAGCTTACCTGCTTAATTAACTTTAAAATTCTTCTATTTTTTAGGGTTTGCAAATTTTGGAACTAAACCAATTGGAACTGGTTTTGGGTCTGTTACTAGTACTGGAATAGGTTCTGGAGGTCTTGGAAGTGGTTTAACACAAGGTAAATATTTTGTACAGATATTTAAATGTACCTACATATTTCAGTATTCTATGTGACCACAATTATAATAACCTACCAAGCTGGCAAATCATACATCAAGTAATGTATTAACTTGTTTTATATGAAATGTCTGGGTGCCTTAAATACCTTGAATATTGAGAATTTTGCTTGAATTTTATGTGCTGAGAAAAAGTCAGGAATTATGCTTGAAAAACAGCCATTCATCTTTTAGTTTTATAATTATGAAACAAAATTTGACAGGAATTTCTGGTCGACTACTTACCCATCCCTTTAGTTTTGTAATTATTTTTTCCATTAGTACTTGTCTCTAAGTGTATGAAAAATTGAGTAGAGCGTTGATGACACAATTTGTTCCCCTTACTTCTTCTGGCGCTACATACCAAAGTGGTCCTTGGCCTGCTTCAACATCTGCTGCCACAGGGCTCTGTCCTCCACCCTTTGCTCCAGTGGTGAAGATCTTTCCTCGTAGCTTCTTTACCTGTTTGTCTTCATTCATTGTGGTGACATAGCAAAATCATTTCAGTATATCCTGATTTTATTTTGACAAGAAATTAGGTTCCTTCTTATGACCTCTTCTGTTCCATTGACATTTATTTCGAGGCCAGCTCTTTCTGTCTCCCTTTTCAAGATGACATATGCTTCTTCGATTGTCTGCCTGCTTCTTCCCACAATCACTACTTTATCTGCATAGGTCATTAATTGTAGTGATTTATTGATGACTATGCTATTACCTTCTATCCTTATTTTCTTAACAACCTTATCAAGAACTAAGTTGAACAGCATAGGAACCAGTTCATCTTCTTGTCTTAATTCAATCCTTATTTCCAAGGGTTTTGAAATTTCTCCATCCACTCTTATTTGACAATTGGTGTGCCTCATTGCCATCTTTGTTAAAACTATTAGTTTAGGAGGGATCTTTGCTTCTTCCGTAGCCTAGTACACCATGGATCTGTTAAGTCCTGTCATATGCTGCTCTAAAATCAACACATCTTTTTAATCAATCAATGCAAAGATCTGATCAATGATTGATCCATTTTTTCGAAAACCACATTGGGATTCACCAACTCCCCTTTCATAATATGAAACAAGTCGATGAGTAATGCCGCAAAAATTGTATATGCAACATTAAGCAATAACTTTCTTGAGTAACACTGTGATTATTCCACGGCTCCATTTTTTCGACATGCTTTCTTCCTCCTATATCTTTTCTATGAGGTTGTGTAGCTTTCTCCGCATGATATGGCCCCTGTATTAAAAGAGTTCAGCATTTATATTGTCCATGCCTGGTGATTTCTTTTCAGTTTACCAATCGCTTATTTCAATGCTGGAGGTATTTCTTCTTCTCATCCATATTCTGTTTCACTATGTGAGATCATTGCTGTTCCATTTACGTTGCCTTGCCTTGGTCACCAGTCAATAACTCTTGGAAGTGTTACTCCTATCTCTAAAAAACCTCTTTATTCAAAGTCAGCAATTGATCTCCTTTGCTTTTCAGCCAATTATTTACAGTTGAGTATCCTTTCTTGATGGCTCCTACTTTCTTGTAAAACTCCCTGCTTTCATTCTTATTGCCCAACTCCTCAATGTTCTTCAACTGCTCCTCCTATGCCTGTTTTTTCTTCTTCTTGATTGTCTTCTTCATCTGTCCTCTTGCTTTGCGATATTCCATTTCCTGCTGTCAGCATCCTTTTTTCGATAGCTTTCTTTCTTGCATTCATCATTGAACCATCTATTTCTTCTTCTAGATTCTATGCTTCCAACAGTTTCTGCAGCTACGATTCAGATTATCCCCTCCATTTTGTTCCACTTATCATCAATAGTTAAGCCTTCATCCATTTCCAGGTGATAATTGTCCTTTTCCTTATCCATATTTATCTTAAATTGTATTATCATTTCTTCATTCTTTAGCTTTTCCGTATCCCACTTTGTCTTAGGTAGATAGTGAGATATCTTTTATATTCTTATTCTTAGTTTAAATTTCATTACTACTGTATAATGTTCTGAATCAATGTAAGGTCCCCTGAAGCTTCTAACATCCCTTGTACAGCTGCGATGCCTATTATCAATACAGAAGTGGTCTATTTGATTAGCATTTTTCCCATCAGGAGTTCGCCGTGTCTGTTTGTGAATATTCTTATGCGGGAATACAGTATAAACATCTTGGAAGCTGTAAACTGGATTAATCTTTCTCCATTGTGTAGGCTATGCATTCCTACTGTTGGCTTATGAACTTCTTCTTTCGCAATTTTGCCATTCGAATCGCTTGCTATGATCTTGATGTCACAACAATGACAAGTCATAAACCCTCTCCAGCTTTGCATGCAATTCTTCTTTTGTGCAGTCATATTTATATTCTGATGGCACATGTACATTAATGATACTTTTATTAAATAGGCTCCCAAGCAGTTTTACTAAACAGATACGGTTGTCTATTGTCTCAAAGTCCAATACCCCACAACTGTATCTTGTTTTCAATAGGAAAGTGCAGCCAATACCATGCCAATCTTTGCTACCACTGTAGTATAGCGTGTTGTACTTCCTGAAGAGCCACTAAATCAAAATTCAGTTTACTGCACTCTAATCTAAGTTCATCAAAGGCCCCAGGTCTAAAGAGTCTCCTCACATTCCATGTAACTAATTTGTAAATTTAAGATGTATCCATTTAACATTTGCTGGGTCTTTGCCATTTATCAGTTCATAATCCGAGGCTGTTTTGTTCTTTCATAGCAGTAGGTTTTTTATGTGGAAGGCTTTGTTAGCCCCTTCGCACATGCAGAGCTGTTCCCCTTACTAATAAATAAAATAATAATAGTAAAATGAGCCTATATACCCCTATAATTTTTTTAATAAATATAATTTAATTATTAATTGCAATTAATACAAAATAAAAAGTGATACTAATAATCCCATTGAAATTCTGTGGGCTGTCACATACTAGGTTTTTGTTTTGTTATTTTTTTTTACCAAATTTTAGTGAACTATTATTTTCCTTTTATTTATTTAACTAAACTTGAAGGATATGGGTGGCCAGTTCAATGCCGGCTTGGGCGGGTTAAAATTAATTTGGACTTAGGTTATGTTGACATTTCTTGCAGTCTGGACTTCCAAATGTCAGGATTTTTAATCATAAAAGAACATAGTGTTTAAATCACAAATTTCTATGTTGTATTTGAAGGTGTAGTGTAGACATTATGTTATAAGGAGGAAACGAATATCAACAAACAATAACTCATTAATATAAACTGTTCATTATAATCATGTTGTTATTAAACAATACAATATTTATGAATTCTTAACTTAGGTTGAACAAAGCTTACCTACCTTCGTTAGTGAGTGAACAAAATGTTTATATCTTGGGAAACAATCCCATATAACTTACTGTCTTGTAGATTGAATAGATTTTCTATTTTATCAATTCAAAAAGTGTTTAACTATAAATTTATTTAATTAAAAATTGTGGGTTGATGATTGAATATCGTGAATAATGAAGAGAAGGATGGTTGGGGTGATTAATCAGAAATAAGAAGGCAAAAATAAATAATAATATTTATTTTAACATTTGCCAACGTTTCGACCTGAAGTTCAGGCCTTCATTAGGGCTGTTCGAAGAGATAGTTCGAATAGAGTCACTCTATCCGAACTATCTCTTCGAAACGTCGGCAAATATTAAAATAAATATTATTATTTATTTTTTCCTTCTTACTTCTGACTGATCATCCCAACCATACTTCTCTTCATTATTTAATTAAAAGCATTAATTAACATCAACTTACTCATTTGTATTGGTTACCAATGTTATTATAAAATATTGTGATAAATTTGTAGATTTATCTTATTATTTTGCTATGCATTATAATTTTCCAGTTGCTCAGCAGCCTCAGCAGAGCTCCTCAGAACTAGAAGTTGTTCTTAACTCCGTCTATAATTGCTGCATGTTTGGTGATGAAAGAGATGAAGTATTGGCTAAATGGAATCTTCTTCAAGCATCTTGGGGAACCGGGAAAGGTTAATATAATATTTTATTACTTTTATTTTAGATTTTTTCTTCTTCTTACTTGCTTAAAACCTCATTATTCTCTAGACTTTGCAGCTACTGTCCAATTTCCAAGACAGGATTGTTCTGACATTTTCGTTCACATAATCAAAATCATCTTAGCCTTGGTCTTCTGCACTTATTTTATAGTTTTGTACCTATATCTTTTCAGCTGTTTCTTTGTAATTTATTATTGTTACTAATTTTTTTCAGGTTTTTACAATCCAAACGCACCACCAGCTGAATATACACCACAGAATCCATTTTACAGATTTAAAGCCATTGTTTACAGTGTAAAACCAACAGTTGAACCGAGAGATGGTTTTGTTGCTTTACAGTTTAATAAAAAAGAGGAGGAAATAAGGTAATTAATTTTATAATGCTACCGTTATTATTTTCTCATATTTGAATATTTTTTCTTATTTATTTTAAATTAAAAATTATAATATATGTTCGGTTTATTGCAAAAATTTATTAAGTGACATCATAACCTGAAACCAATAAGAACCTTGATGAATTTTCCATTTGTGAAATCAAAAAATTGTATGCTAGTTGTAAACGTATCTGATGCATAGAAGTGTGTTATTTTTGTGTTTTTCTTTATAGATAAAAATAAATTGTTTTTAAATTATTATCACAAGTTAATTATGAATATTTTATTAGGAAGTCTATTTTTATTCATTCAGTAGATAATTGCTAAGTGTCTGAACTATTTTCTTATTAAGTTAAAATGATTTGGTTTAAAAAAAATTAATTTTAGGAATCAGGACCAACAGCTTGGTCAGGGATTGGCTGCTATTTTCGGTCTCAGTCAGCGACTCAATCTCACTCTACATGTTGACACTATTCGACCCATTTCTGCATCTTCTACTCTTGTATTTATTTTTATGGAAGAAAAGAGTAGCAATGGTAATAATGTTTATTTGTTTAAATTTTTAGTGTAATAATACTAACTTAAAATTGTAACCTTTAAAATCTCATTTCAAGATATATTCAAGCATCTTTGTAAAATTTATCTGTTATTTCTAAATTAGGATGAAAGTATGCTTAAATTTTATAAACACTTTGTTCATGTAAGCCTTTCATTAAAGAACTCACTTAATAGTTTGGTAGAATGAATTTTATGTATGAAATATTAAATCTTCAGATTTAAGCTAGTGAAAATTCTGTAGAAAATTTTAGTAGAAAATAGGAACCAAACATTTGTATATGACCCAACAACAAACTTAATACTTTATTACGTAATGAATAAATGGTCCATGGACTAGTTCAATAGTAGCTATTAATCCAAAATAATTTGCTATACAGTTGTTAATAGTTTTCTGAGGTTATGTCTACATGGAGCTCCATCTTAAGCTGTTATTAAAAGCATGAATCGTGATGATCCGAAGGGTCTTTACAAAAACATTTGCTGTGTGATTATTTCAGAGTGTGGTCTGGCATCATAGTGGAATACAACACCTTTGTAATTGACTAGTTCTGGGTGTTATTATCGCAATTTTAGGTCCAATTTCATTAGGTACATGCAATAGATCTTCGAATCAATCATTTTTCCTTGTTGGAAGCAACTCGTAAAACAGTATGCCGCGATAATCTCACCATATGGAGAGCGAAATCTTTTTCGGATTTAGGCTGGCCTTTGGGGTGTCATTAAGCAGCTCATCAGCAGTTGTCCACAATCTCCTGTGCACTACATTGACGTAGATGATCCACTTTTTGTCACCCATCACTATACGTTTGTGAAATGGTTCTTTTTAGAGCCGGTTCAGAAGAGAGTTGCAGATTGATATTTCGGTTAGCCAGGTCTGCGTCAGTCAGTTTGTGTGGTACACAAACATCGAGGCAGAACATGTAGCCAAGCTGTTTTAAATGCCTTTTAATGGTTCCTAAACCTATTTTTAGTACCTCATCAACCTCAATCAATCACCGAATCAACATCAGTGACTGACCGTTGCAGGGTTCATCTTTGAGACTCATATCTCCAGAACGAAACTTGGCAAATCATTTTTGAGCAGTATGTTCTGTTATGGCATCGCCTCTGTATGCCTGACATATCTCTCGGTGGACCTCTGAAGCTCGCTTGCCTTTTTTGAAATAAAAAAGCAAAATATGCCAGAAATGCACTTTATTATTAGACATCTTCACTATGCTGTTGCACAAATAAAACTAATAACAATGAAACAAAAAACAACAGTTTTGAACAGCGGATGTAGACCTTTCCGATTAGTATCATTATTGTCAGATAAGGCAAAGAGAACTGAAGATATTTTAACACAATTCACACTACTAACAAAAACCAAATGAACTTATCGATCCACTGTTTTAAAATAAATACACAAATATGGTCTTGGGATCAAATAATATTTTGATTAAGCTTGTTTATTAAACATTATATTGAATTTCCAATTAGTTTCAAATGGTAATATTCAAAGTTTTATTATTATTATTACTGTACTTTAAATCTTTTAAATAGCAAATATTTTATTTTCAAATTTTAACCATTATATCATTTTGGGGACCGGATTAGCACATTGAGTTAGATACTGGACTACTAAGCTCAAGGTTCTGGATTCGAATCTTGCTGATGTCAAGTAATTTTTCATCAGTTGTGGTTCGACCCTAACGAGGGGGAAGGTCAGGAGGGTTCTGGGTCACACCCAGCCTCTATAAAGTGGGTTCTTGGTTACTTACTCTTAATTAATGGGAAAAACTTGCCAGTTAAGAGTGTGATCCTGACTCAAGGAGTATTACTTGGTGAATTATTAAGCTTAAACAGATCCAAGAGAATAAAAAGACTGGAGACGTCTCTTAATAACCTCCCCTTATGCTATGAATGCCTTCATAGGGTTAAGGATGTGTAACCAATCTCTTTGTTTTCTTTGGCGACTCTCCTTGTAACCATTCTTCTACGTACCCACCATAACTGGTGTGGCTCTGGCCTAAGGGAAACAGTGTGTGTGTTAACTAGGCTTGCCCAGATGAAAGCAGATAGGATATATACCCAGTCTGGATGAAGGGGCAACTCATTTCAATTTGAACCCTTAAGAGGCCTTAGGCTAACTGTGATAAGATTGGAAATTTTACTTTGAGTTATCACTCTACTCTACCAATTATCACTCTCAGTTAAATTTTAACAAAAACAAAAAACACAAGGATGCCTTGAGATCTTATTTTTATATTGTATGATTTTTTTGAAAATATTTATATGAATTGTCAAAACAGTCATTTATGGAAACTCTTGCTCCTTTAGTTAGACAAATTTTACAAACATTCGCCTGCCTTTAAACAAACTGATTCTGATTAGCTAACTGATTATGTTATTGAGTATTTATTTAATAAATATCATCTTAATAGTTGCTTAACATTTTTTTCAGACCTAATTGAACTGAAAAGTTTAAGTTCATCACAGAGAGATTGCTTTAAATTAGTTTATAACAAAAATGTAGTTTTAAAAATCTAAGCTTTTTTGTTTCAGGTCAAATTAAAAGGATTTCTAACCAAGAGTTGGCTAGTTTCCTGCTGCAACCAACGCAAGTTAACCAGTTGAAGCAGATGGGTGTGACAGACTGTTACCCTTTCAGTTGCCCTGATAAGGATCAGATTCAGGAGTACCTAGATAACTCTCCAGCTGGTAATATAGCTGAATATAATTCTTAATCGGGTGTGGTTCACTTTAAATTAAAATTTTTTCTTGATTGAACCATTTGCCATTATAATTTAATTCATCTTATTTGTTCTTGAGAAAAAGCTTTCTTCTGAGTTTTTAGTATTTAAATATGTTTTTTTTTTTTTTTTTTATGATAAACAACCTTGTTTAGGTTATTCATATTTTTTAATAATTATTATATTAAATCTATATATGATTATTTTTATATCAAAGCCCTTTTTAATCTCGCAGCCTTTTTTAACGTTTCGGCTCCAAGAGAAATTTTCAAAAAAAAATTTAAATATATGTGTGTTTAAATATTACTCAATGGTAGTAATTGTTTTATTACTTAGTATTGTTTGTCTAAACTTCAGCTCCATAAAGATACAAGAAGATGATCAAAAAAGAAAAAAATTAAGGATGAAGTTTGTGATAAAATGAGAAGAAAAGAATTTTTGTGGAATTGGAAGAAAAATAAAACAAAACATTTTATAATTAATAAAATAAATACTACCATTGAGTAGTATTCTATGTACATATATATGAGAAGGAGTTAATTGGGGGTTGCGATCAACTAAATACTAAATTAAAATATAGTTATTATTTAATTACTATATTTTAATTTAGTATTTATTTGACCGCACCCCCCCAATTAACTCCTTCTCATATTATATCAACGGTCAACCATCTCTACATTTTTATATATACACATATATTTTAAGACCTTTTTATAGGAATAATGTCTTGTTTTAAAAAAGAAAAGAAAATTTTTGAAAATGGTTCTTAGAGCCAGAACGTTAAAAAATAATTTTTAAATGTTTGTAAAAATGTTTTAAATAAAAAATAAAAAGGGTTTTGATTTAAATATAATATGTTTTTTTTTTATTTTAGGAATTGATCCTTTGATGTGGAAACAAGCCCAAGCTGACAACCCCGATCCTGTTAGATTGATTCCTATGCCCCTCCTGGGTTTCAGTGAACTGAGGTGGAGGTATCATTGTCAAGTTGAAGAAACAAAAAGGCATACAGCTTTCTTAGACAGTGTAGCAGAAGAGATACTGAAAATTAAATCGGCAAACGAGGCAGCTCGATTGAAAATAAATGAATATAAACAAAAAGTTATAGAACTTGAGCACAGGGTACTTGAGGTAATGTATCTCTCATAAATCTATTTTCATATTATGTTTGCCAAGTTGAGTAGTATAGTATAGTGTAGTGTTGCTTCCTACATCTGGTGGTATCAAAATATTATATATACAAGAGTTATCTCTCAAAACCAATAATAATATATGAATACAATCAGCCTCTATTGTATGTTTTTACTTTCACTTACCTAAATATATAGTGAGGGTAAGTATTGTGATCGTGAAAATTGTCGAATCTGAGTTTTCAACGAAATACATGTTTTGAGGTCTCCTGAGTCCAAATAACCAAGTCCAGCAAAAAGGTCTGTGTGTGTGTGTATGTGGTAAGTCTAGCTCAAAAATGAAAATTTGTACGAAACTGATATTACATATTTAAGGTAAGTTTATGCCATAGATATTACAGCAACTTTTTTCCTTTAAATCGACTAACCAGAAGTGGCACTTTATATCAATGGTGGAACACATTTTTACAATTTTCTCAAAAATGGCTCTAACGATTTTGATTAAACTCGATGTATCATTGTATACTTAAGTGATCTATAATATCAATTAGGTCTTATCCCCTTTTATGTCACTTTACAGGACTTAAATGGCCAATGTTCATATACATCTTTCTCTAAAGTACCTTTCATATGGCTTATTTTAAATAATTAACTATCTCACATTATTAAGAGTTACTAAAAATGCTAAGTATAACTTTTGAAAGAATAAAATTGAACAAAGGAGAAAAATAAAAATCTTATATTATTGTAAAAATGCTTATATAATGTGAAATATCTAAACATTCAAGAAAATCATATATTTTCCAAGTTGCGCAAAGGACCTCAGAGCAATTTGTTTACATTTTAAATAGATTTTTTATTTACCATTGTAAAAGTGTATTGTAATATAATAATAAAAAGAGATATTTTAATTTTTAAAAACCTTAATAATAATATGTGATAAGTATTCTATGGCAACAGAGGTGCTAAGTCAATATTTCTTGAATTGGGCATGTTTTCTCTAAAAGAGTTGGAGCTTTTGAATGCAGGGTCTAGTTCATTCCCAAGCACCATCTTTCAAATTCGGTACCACAATATCTGATGACAGATAACAGGGTTGAGGAAGCACTCAAACTGGTGTAAGGTTCTATGCCTGTTATACTGAGATGAACATTTCTTCCTAAGAATATGTAAGTAGTTGTGGTCTGAAATTATATTTGTGTTCTACCCTGCTTAGTTTTTAATAACATTTTTGAATTCAGAATATAAGAGGCACAGGTCAGACAGTTGTTTTAGTTGTTACTAATATAAGACTTACGATAATATCAACTTTTAAGTCTTCAGGCTGTTTCCTGTGAATGAACAAGTTGAAGCTAGATTGTTCGATTCTTCTATTGTTTCAGTCTAATACTTGTTGATTGCTTGCTGGGATGAATCGAATCCATTTGAAGAACATATCATTCTATATGTGCGATGCTTTGTAAAAATCTCAATTACAATTTGACACATTTTCTGACTATTTCTTTAATTATAAAATTATTAATTTCAAATAAGTAATACTTCTGATTTTATTTGTTTAAGGTGATGGTAAGACAGCAAATTGCTCGTAATTTTGGGGTTGCTTTGAGACCAGAAGAAGAAATGCTAAGAAGCCAACTTGATGCTGTACAGTCACAGTTAAGCTCCCCTCAGTTTGCTGTAAGCTTTCTTCTACTAATTTCTTATTTATTTTATGAGGAAGTGCACTATTTTAATTTATTTATATTAGTGTATAATTTAGTTCTTTAAAGTAATCAGTACTATTTCATTCTTTCTGCTTCTCATTTTATTACTGCTGGCTCATTAATTTGATCGTATACTAGTTGTAACAATCAGTAATTGAGGTGTAGGATTTCCAACTATTAACGTTAAAAAGAAAATAATAATATGTAGGTAAAAGGTATACTATAATAACATGTAGGTAGAATAAACTTAACATTAATAAATAAGTGGAGAGGCCGAAATATAAATTAAGGAACTATAAAATAATGATAACTAAGTTAGGAATAGAAAGTAGAATGATAACTAAGTGAGGAATAGAAAGTAGCGGAAGCTAAGTTAGGATATATAACATAACGATAACAAAGTTAGGAACACATGAAAACAAATAATAACAGTAACAGAGAGGAACTTATGAAATAAATAATAACAGTGACAAAGTTGGGGACTAATGAAATAATCATGATAAATGAAATTTTTTATTATCATATTTTTGAGTTTTAGAAGAAATATAAGTAAAATTATTGTTTATTCCTGTCATTTTATGGGTTTATTATAATTAACTCAGCATTTTTTTTATTTTTCGTATTCGCAAGTTTTAAATGTAAAAAAAATTGTTGCTAGATTTTTCAAAGTCGCGATAGTGGATTAAAAAAATTGTCTATATGGAATATTTATTTCTACTTATTTTGGTCTAGATAGCTTGATATCCATATAAATCAAATTAATAGAAAAAATTAAAATAGGTCCTGGACTAGAAGAAAATACAACAACTCTGCAAGGCTGCTCAACTTGTGTTGAGTTACTAAATAACATAGCATACTCATCAATCAATAGATATACTGTAAAAAAATATAAGAGAGAGTTAGGTCCGACCATTATCTTTTAAGTTTATAAAATCAAATAAGCGAAGGCCTAGATCAATATATGTGGTGATGGAGGATTCCCAACGGGTCTTAAATAATAGTTTCTGTCATCTTTTTTCTCTCTCCCCTTTTACGCCTTTTAGTCTATATAGGGGGTTTTCCGGGGCCAGGAGATGAGGGCGGGGGGATTAATGCCAGAATCAAAAGACTCCCCCGTCACCAGGATGCGAAGTTGTATTTATTTTGTTGTCTGTAACTTGGTTATCAGGTTGCTGGGCAACGCACGTTGCTGTTCAAACGCGTTAGCCCGCTCAGTCACCCCGCCCCTATTTCTGTCATGGTGTGCATCTGCTCCCTTCCAACACAGAACCTTTGCAAGAAATTACTTGTGTTAAGAGGGATGCTTCTCCTGCTTCCGAACCATAGCCCTTTAACTGACAATGCTCTCTCACCGAATTCATCTCTGTACTTTCCCTTCAGGTAAGATATGCATTTCCTCTTTCTCTGCCTGTACCTTGAAGTCCTGATCCTGATCGTTGGGTCTTTGGAAAACAGGATCGTGGCCATCGAATAATTTGTACCCATATTCCTCCGCAACTCTTGGGTCACACACTTCTGTGTACTGAGAATCTATACTTAAATTGAAGAGAGCTGGGGAAAGTGGTCCACCCTATGGTACTCCTCTAAAAACTTCGATGTTGTTAATCTTGTTGACTGACTCTGATGATGTTGAGACACAGTAGGCTAGATTCTTGAGACATTATACTTATTAGGGACAGAATAAAGATTCCTTTTCTAATGTCAGATGGAACACCTTTATCTTCCAAGGATATGATTATGGCCAATATTGTCAAATGCTCCAGTTACTTCCATAAATGCGACAGCAGCATCTCTCTTTTTATTCTTTGATTCTTGAGTTGACGTGGCACCCCAGTTGTCCAGTAATGAAATCCTTCTGGTTTGGGTGAAAAGAAATTTGCTTCTGAAACTTTTGATCAAAGATCTTTTCAATACTCCGCCTTAATATGGAGTAAATCGTTATGGGTTTCCACGAAGACAAATCGTCACTAGAACCATTTCCTTTATAAATTAAAATTGACTACCCGCAATGGAGGATTTCAGGAACATAACTGAATTTCAGTATTATCGTTTTGATTATATGTGAAATTCCCAGCTTCCTTATTGTTCTCATAAGAATTCCATCAGGACCAAGCAAATAGTCCTAGATGTGCTCTTTATTGCCTTATGAACAACTCTTAGCTCTTCTACAGTTTCTATATTTGGATTATTGGAAGAGGATGCACAGCTTTCTTTCACATTATCATTTTTGTGCTCGATGAGTGATCTAAAATGAGTTTCGATCTTTTCATTTTTAATGGAGCATTGCTTTGGGCTGTCTGTATTCATGATACTTTGGACCACTTTTTTTTCTATAGTTGTACTTATAATGGGTCAGGTCATATTCAAATTATTCCCACCTTCTCTCTCTGAAAGATTTGTTCGATCTCTGTGGGCTACAGAATCATCTTTTTCGAATTATTCGAGTTTTTTAAAATGTAAAAAAAAATTGTAAAGGTATACTAATTTTACTGCCACCTGCTTAGATTAGTATTCTAAACCTTCTTTTACATCAGCTATTCTCCTGTTTTGCTATTAATTACCTTTCATTTTCTTTCTTGACTATCAGTTTAAATGATGTAGAGATGGTTGACCTTGGTATAAAATGAGAAGGAGTTGATCGGGAATGGGGAGGGGGTGCGGTCAAATACTGGTGTTTCAACTGTCTCCCGCAGTGCTACATCCTACGTATTTATTTGACCCTCTCCCCCCCCCCTCCCTCCCGATCAACTCCACATATCAGTTTAAATATTTGCCTTGAACATGTCTTCTTGAAGCAGTTTAAAAAAAAATTTTTAATTGTATTTTTGCTCCCAAAAATGTATGATAATAAGTGAACAAATTATCACGTTTTAGTAAACAAGTTATGACTGGGCAGAAGTAGAAATAAAAATAGAAAATGAAGTGACTTTAAAGTCCTGAATTAGGCCAGGCTCAAATATTTCTAGATCAAATCCAAATATAGGTTGATCCATATTGATCCGAAATTACTCTGATCCAGAATATAATCAGCTTTGGTAATACTCTTGTTTTTCAAAGAAAAACCTCAACTTCAGATTGCTATGACTTAAAACTGTGTTAGTTTTGTGTTCACTTTTTTCTTATCTTTTTTTTTGTTTTATAGGGAAGGCTCTCTGAATTGCAGACACAGGTTAGACTTCATAAACAAGAAGTTTCACAACAATCTTCAGATAATTATAACATGAACCCTGCTGTAAAAGATGAAATAAAACAGGTAATAACTGTTTTGATTATAATTTAGTATTTCTTATGGTGAAAATTTCCTTCTCTTTATAATCCTACAAGAAGGGGCTGAATTTCTCAAAAACTGAGACAAATTACTATAAATGGCCCTACAACTTGGAAGTGAGTTTCTTAAGGGAAAAAACCCATAGAATCAAATTTTTAGACAGTTTTTGAGAAATTTGGTAAAAATCAGAGTTGGTTGACCGTGGTTTTATACTTTACCACGTAACCAAATTGTTAAGTTTATGTACTCCTTAGACACACAATTTAACTTTCTGTAATTTCTTAAAGAGTACATTTTTCGCTTCGATACATCATTTAGGAGATTACATGTGAGAAAACAAAAAATATCTAACTAATCTAACTTTTTTGGCTATAAAAAGATTTCTCTTGGTGGCCCGCGTTTTTGTTTTGTTTTTTACATGTCTAAAGCCATATATACAATTTAAAGAAATAAAAACTTTTCTCACATTTTTTGCAATGTACTTCCCATTTCGATCCTCAAATTACTGGCCTAATGTTCCTAAAATCAGCTGCCATTTTCAAAAGTAGCAGTTTTGGAATGGCAGACCAGGTTCTTTTTACTCAGAATAACATAAACTTTCGTAATTTACAATCACACCTTAGCCTGCGATCAGGTAGATTTTTGGGTCCTGGCTCCAGGGCTAATTGAGGTGTCAAGTCAGAATACTGAGAGACCTATCTGACATCCACAACCACATGGGGCCTGAAACAAGGAAATGTCCTATCATATCTGCTCTTTAACCTAGCATTAAAGAAGGTGATAAGGAACTCCGAAGCACAAAGAAGTAGATTCTCAACTTGTCAGTCCAAATTTTAGCCTTTACAGATGATATAGATACCATAGTTATAGAAGCAGCTGGGCAGGTAATTGGTCTAAGTATTAACCAGGCTAGGACCAAATATATGATTGCCAACTCACCAAGGCCACCACCATTTACAGTTACATTTGAAGGATACACATTGAAAGTGTAAATAATGTTGTGTATCTTGGGTGTCTAGTTAGTGCAGATAAAGCAAGAACCATGTCAGCTAACCTGTGTTATTTTAGTCTGGCAAAAATATTAAGAAGTAATTTGCTGGCTGAATCCGCTAAGATTGCTCTGTACCAATCCCTAATTAGACCGGTACTGACATTTGGCTCAGAGATATGGCCATTGTCAGCTAGCTGGTTTTCAATAGAAAAATCCTGAGAAGGATGTTCATGTAGGTTTGTACTCAAATTTAACCCGGGAACCGAATGTGGTGCAATTTATATGGCTCTCTAGGCTAAGATGTGCTGGACATATCGCAAGGATGAAAGGGTATTCACCAATTAAGCGGCTGCTGTTTGGGTATGTGGATGGAAGAATAAAGAGAGGATGACCATGACTGAGATGGACAGATGAGGTTGAAACCAATGCAGAGAGCTTCTGGACACTAGAGCTTGGCAGCCCCTTGCACAAGACAAAGAGGAATGGAGGTGACTAATTGATGCGACGAAGACCCATACCGGGTTTGAGTGCCTGTGATGATGATTGAGACATGTTTAAACAAATAAAACTAATCAGTGAAATATTAAATTGTATATATATTAGGGTGTCCCATAAGTTCATCAATTTTTCTTTATTTGTTGTTTAAGGTTGATTTATTGTGTTATATATCAACCGTTATGCTCTATTACTTTCTTCCATCTATCAGAAAGTTTCTTATACCCTTTTTCCAAAATTGTTGAGACTTACTTGCAAAATATTCATCGAGATAAGTTTTTATTTCATTTTGGATTTGTGACATTTATTACAGTAAGAATTTTTTAACAAAAGAAAAAAGTAATAATTGGAATGGGCGAGGTCTGGGGGTGAGATAGAAAGTCCCAATTGAACTGTAAGAATTTCTGTCTTACTGCCAATGTGCAACATATCTCATCAGTTAATTAGTAGACTGCAAAAAATAATAATTCATTCAAAGAATTACTTTATGATAATTATTTATTATTAATCATATCACAGTTTTTTGTATCTTAATAGTATATTTCTTTATTCTTTTGTTTTTCAGTTCTTATTAATGCAGCAAGATGCTATCAAATCAGTGTTGGATATAATGCAGAATGATGAAGCTGATCTAAAAATATTAGAGAATGATTTGTCAAAGTTCAGATCCAGGATCAGTGCAAATGTTTGACATGTTTTGTATTCCCATTTTCTGAAAGATGTGCCTCTTCCTACTACTTCCAGATATTAGCCAGTTTATAATTTTTTCATCTCAAAATAATTTCCATTGTATAACATTCAATTGTACATATAATTCTTTACCTGATGTATATTGATTTATGATCTCATCATGATGAAATGATGATTTGTGTAATAATTATAGGCTAATTACAAATCGGGTTCCTTGTTAAATATATTTAATTGTACTACTTACACCAGTGGTGTAATTCATTATTGTATTGTAAAAACAAATGATTTTATTCCAAGATAAAATAATATTATTTAATTTAAGTTAATTAGTCATGTACATATAAATTTTAATACTACAATTTTGTAATATTCTTTTTCTATTTTATAATGTTGATTTATACCTTATTTTTCCTCAATTATTATTACCTTTCTCATCTGTAGTTTAAAATTTTCTGATTGATTATTAATAATATGTTTTGCACCAAGGTGTGCTTAACAATTATTAATGATAACTTATTTTGAAAGAAGGAAAATAATCATGGACCGGACCCTACTGTACCTATAAAAATTAACTCACTGAGAAGTATGGATAGGCTATTATTTTAATGACTTTTATGTATATAGATAGTATTGTATGAGTTCCAAAGACATTAATGTGAAGTGAGGGTTGCAACCAATAGTCATCAGGTTCATAATGGTAGATATGGAAATTGATAGAGGATAGTGGGACAAGTCAGACAAAACTATAAATTTCTGTAATGACTAAAATGTGTGCAAACATGTTCTTTAGACTTTGAAATATATTTAAGTAAGTTTTTTAGTGATTTCAAAGAGTTTTAATGATAAAATTTTAATATATATTTTCAAAAGTAAAGTGCAATATAATATGTTAATAAATTCTTTACCTAATTAATTATAAAGCTATTTATATTATCTTTTAAATATTTTATATTAGGTGCATTGTATTCAGAAGATTTTACAACAAAAAATAAAGAAATACGGATAACCAGTCTTATTAAGTAATTTATTTTAAATTTTCAGAAATTAAACGATTACAAAAATTTATTGAATAATAAAGGGCTTCAAAAAATTGTATTAACCTTTTCTGTGAATGTGATTATCAAAGAGTTCAACTGATTTTAGAAATCATTTTTCACATGTTTATAAAAAACTAAACTAGACAGCAAAAAAATCGGTGCACCCTATATTTTGTTGTTTTTCCTATTTAGCTCGAATTAGTTGATGGTTTTTTTTGGGTGTGCCAAGTTGAGCTCATATCCCATGAGTGAATAGCAGGGCGCAGATTAAAAGAAAGAGAAAATACCCATAAAAAAAAAACTTTACTAACAAATCCTGAATATTGTGAAAAATTAATTTGATTCTTCTTAAAAAATTGGTGCAAAGTTAACGATAAACTTTTTTTTAGTATCGTGTGTTGCCTCCCCTTGCTTGTATCACCGCCTGCATTCTTCTTGGCATGCTGCTGATTAAATTGGAAACCTTTTCCTGCCCGATTTGGTCCCATTCTGCTACTACTGCGGTCCTGAGGCCTTGGAGGTCCAAAGGAGGGTTTGGACACCTTCGGATGCACCTCCCTAGCTCGTCCCCTAGATATTCAATAGGATTGAGGTTGGGGGCTGCGGGCTGGCCACTGTAGGGTGCGTGTACCAACCTCTTCGAGGTAGTCAGTAACCACATGTGTAACATGGGGCCACGCGTTATCGTGCATAAAAATGAAATTTTCACTGATGAATGGGACTACATAATCTTCCAGAATGTCAGAAATGTACCTGAGTGCAGTTAGGTTCCCTCTTGGAAAAACATGGAGGTCGGTTTTTGCTCTTGAATTGATTCCCCCCCAAACCATTACAGACCCACCACTGTAAGGCACCCTTTCAGAAATATTGCACTGCAATATATTAAAACTACAATATGTTAAAACAGAAATAAATTTGCAATAATGCAAAACGCTGTCCCGGCCTTCTCCACACTCTAACACGGCGATCTGAAGAATATAATGAGAACCTGGACTCATTTGAAAACATTACTTGCCCCCAATCGTCTTCTGACCAAGCTGTGTTTTCCCCAGCAAATGTAAGACGAGCTGTACGATGTGCTGTGGTGAGTTGAATCGCAGTATCAACACTAATATTCACATTTTGGGCAATTCGAAGGCGCTGAGTGGTTTCTACAGCCGTCTGAAAGTGGTTTCGCAGAGCCTGCATCGTAATAAATCGGTTGTCTGCGGGCACTGTCGCTCTTGGTTGGCCTGATTCTGGTCTCTTCTGGAAGCTACCAGTTTCCCTGTACTTTTGGACTGCTCTACAAACAGTAGTTTCTGGTAGCCCTAACTTTCTAGCCACATAATGTTGACTTCTACCAACCCGACTATCTGGGCGACTGTTTCGGTGGTTAGAACCATTCCTCAGAACCGAACAAGCACAAAACAAACAAATGAGTTGAAAGAAAATAAAACACAAATGTGATCTTAGCGCGAACGACAAGTGATGAACTGAGGGAAGAACAGCAAATGCAACACTAAGAGATAAACAGGGTCAAAGGTACGCATATTCGAATGGACCTTGAGGTAATCATACTGTGTTATTGTTATGAAAGACTATACTAACCATCTCGAAACAACAATTCATTTAAAACAAACATTGGACCTGGATCTCTACACAAACATGAGGTGCGCCGGTTTTTTTGCTGTCGAGTTTATTTATTTTTGGCTTCATTTTTATTAGTATAAAAATATAGATTATTGAATTACACGTAATTAGAAAAAAATTACTTGCATTTTTTGTTTATTAAAACGAAGTATTGTCATAAAAATATTTTCTATTAAACTAATATATCGTTTAGTAATAACATTATTTTTTATGAAACTGTAATATTGCTTGATTGAATACAACAGTTAAGTTGAATAAATTAAAAAAATAAATAAAATAGGGTTGTAGGGCTTGTTGATATCCCAGCAAGCAATATAAAGTCCTTGATGAATCCAAACTTGAACAATTTTCTAAGATGTGTAACGTTTAATATTATATTGCATCTGCAACATTTTGGTGAACTACCTTGGAGTAGATGAGCCTGGTGTGCCCTATTCTGAGGCATATGATAATAGTTTCCTTGCATCAGTGGAAGTGGATTCATGTCATTAAAAACACTTCATTTTGTTGGAACTAGGAACCTTTATTCAACAATAGCACCAATAAAGGAGTACAATGGACTGTTTTGTAAATTCAATTATATGAATATTTTAAAATTGTTTGTCTGTTAGATGGGTCTCTTGAAGTGATAAAACTGATGGATTGTATTAGAAATCAATAACTAAGTAATTATAGTGATATACACCATCACTGTTCCAATTTAAAATGATCATATGTTTTTATGCCATAAAGTATAATCTGGCTATGGAGTGCTAGGAAAGTTAATTGAAGGCCTTTTATGGCTTTCGTAAGTCTGCAATATAAGCTTCTTGTTGGAAGTGCTGAGTGTAACTGCGAACATAGTTATAATGGAGTCAAGGTCATTGGTTATTTCTAGTGCTGCTGATACTGGATTTTTTGTGATTAAGTTAGTTTCTAAAAATGTGTGTAAATGAATGAAGGAAAGAGAATAGTTTTTATCAGGTTATTCTACAAGTTTCTTCAAAGGTAGTAATGTTTCAGTCAAAGTTTTTTATTTGGATGTTAGAGGTTTTTCTATTGTCTGTTGTTTTATAAGCCTTCATTTATTTATAAATTACCTTTTTCAGCTTGTTCCTGCCTGTTCATTTGGATCATGATTTAAATACTGATTGTATTTTCGTGTTCTTTTATTATGAGTAAATTCATGTTAGAAGAAAGACTTGTTAGTAGGATAATTGGATTAGTTGAAGCATTGTCTCTATTATTACGTTTTAAATTTCCTTTTCTATTAGGAAAGCTGTGAGTAACAGGCTCCTCAAAAGTTAGGAAAATTGATGATATCCATACCTTTGTTTCTCCTGGTCTTAGAAAAATTCTTTTAATCTCCACTACTCCTCTTCTTTAATTCTAGTTTTGAACAGATATTGAACTCAGAACAAGATACTGTTCCTTTATTATAATTCAAAGAAGCGTGTAGAGTGTAATTATGAAGTTCATCAATGGTTTTTATTTATTTAAATTTGGTTGATCTAAAATTGTTTTATGAGGAGTTGGTCGGGGCTGCAGTGAAATAAATACTAAATTTTTAAAAAATGGTATTTTTAATTGTTTTTAACTGCTCAACAGTAGTCTGTCAACTGCTTCCTGCAGTGCCACATGCCGCGTCCTGATAAAGAACTACAAGGTAGGTCGAAAAGTCGGTGTAACAATTAAAAATACTATCAGTTTTTAAAAATTTAATATTTATTTGAAGGCATCTCCCGATCAACTCCTTCTCATATTATATCACGGTCAACGATCTAATAGGTAAAGAGATTCTATTAACCATTTATTTTTGTCCAGTTCATTTTGTTAATGAGTTTTGTAACTTCACGCTGGTCATGAATTTTGAATCAATAAGATACTCTAAAAAAAATTGTTTAGTACAATAGGGATAAAAGAGAAAGCATATATATTTTATATAAACACTTTATTTGTATGTTTTTTTTTTGTTTTTTTTATTTTTTCTATAAAATGGACTTAAAAAAAATTACAATACATCTTTGGTAAAAAATCATATACATTATCAGACTTCATTTATTGATTGCACAGTTCACTGGTATAAATTCAATTGATAATGCGCTAATATATTAGTCATCTTACAAAAATACTGTTAAATTATCCTTTTTTTAAGTAATTAAAATACAATACTTGATATGTATAAAATGGTAAAACTTATTAACATGCACAGCCCCATCGGCGCAGACTTAAGGGGAGGGGGAATCACTCCCCCAATAAAAATAGAGAGGGAGTGAGAATATCATTTTAAAAATAAAATAAAATCAATTCAGAAAATAGGAATAGTTGATTAAATGGCTAAGCTATGACCTAGAAGTTGGTATGTATATTTTTTAATATGCAACTCTTTTAATACAGCCTATGTTCCTATTATGGCGGGAATTTATGTTATATGTGAAAATTTAACTTAATTATTGCGAAACAAACAAATGTAACAAAGAATATTTAAAAATAAATTTGTGTAAACAATATTACTAGTTTTTTTTTTTTAATGCCTATAAATATACTAGAAAATATCTACAGAACAATTTAATATATTACATATTTGTAAAAATTAAACATGCAGGAGGGAGACAGCCTCATTTATAAAATAAATTTTGTTAAAAACTAAATAATATTTTTGATTTCTTAATTAGTACTGTTTCAAAATAAAAATACATTTCAGTTTGACTAGTTATGTAAAATGTCTATAAAACATTTTTTTAATAAAATGTATTTATACTTATAAATATTGAATATATTTTTTTCAACTTCACTATAGAAAATATGATAAGAATATAATAATAAAATATCACGAGAAAATAGAGGGGTGCACATGAAAGTTTAATGAACCATAAAATCCTAGGAATGTTGTTACATCATACTATTTTTTAATATTAATGAAAATTCAAATAATTGTAACATTTAGATTGTAATTCAAGGCCTTAGCCTAGCAAGGTAGTCGACTTTTCCTTAATTCATTTATGGAGCTATTTGTTACTGATTTTAATTTTTTTTACTTCAAAATATTGGGGAAGCTAAACAATATTTTCGCCCCTCAATATTTTTATTGGAGGAGAGGAGGGGGCCACCTTCCCCCCTGAAGTCTGTGCCTATGCCTAGGATTTTATGATTTATTCATGAACACCCTTCCATTTTTACATTAAGATTTCATCACATTTACCACAGCAAATTTGAAGCGGCTGTGCACCTTACTGGTGGAGCCACGTCTTGCCTGTTTCCATTCCCCTACTGCCTTGAGTCTGTCTTGGACGGTGGGGAAGAACTTCTTGAGGTAGACCCCAAATACTTAAAAACTTCTTATCTAACACTTCCTAACTTTTAATAAATTCCTATCTAAGTTTGTATTCTAGAAGACTTAGTAAGGTCCAGAGGGACTTCTTGCAAAGGTTCACTCCACCAGTGAACAAGTCCAGTCCACGGGAGCATCGGGACACCGTGAATAGGAATGGGTACAACTGGAACGATTGGAGCTCCTCCAAAATAGGTAGCTTCTTGAACCCTCTCCATAGGACTTGGGCTACTCTCCATTTTAACAACTGAAAATCACAATGATAACCATTAATCAAATTAAAAGTTTGGAAGCTCTCTGTGAAATACACATTTAATTATGTACATTAATGAATCCACAAAGTTATATTTACTATCAGACTAATTATTTCTAAATATGATTTTTTAAAATTACGATGATAACAATTAAGTTCAATACTTGTTAAAAATAAAAAATTATATTTTTCAAAGCAAAAACGAAAACCGTAGGTAAGAAATTCAGAGAGAGAGAGAGAATAATGAAGAAATCATCAAATTAATGAAATAGTTATGTTTATAAATATACACCATTCATACATTAATGACACTTATAGTCACAAGTTAATAAATGCATAGTATTAAATTAAAAGTAATATGTATATTCTTACCAGGAGGAGTAATAGGTGGAGTAACAACAGCAGGTATATTGTTAGGTACAAAGTGCTTATAAGTTTTGACATGCTTCCTAAGAGAACTTGGATCGGTATACCTTTTAGGACATCCAGGTATTTTACAAGCATATGGTTTGTCTATTAAATGTGTTCTGGTGTGTTTAAACCGATCACTTGAATTTGAATATCTTTTTCCACACCCAGGTACGGAACAAACATAAGGCTTTTCTCCTATAAAAAGAAGAAAATAGATTATTAATGTTAATAGCTATGTTTAAATAATTTATTTTGAATGTTATCATCAAATAATATCCCATAATACAAATAGTATTCAAGTAAAATAAAAATCAAACAAACTTACCAGTATGAGATCGAGCATGAATTTTCAGGTTTTCAGCTCTACTAAACCTTTTACCACATTGAAAACAACTATGTGGTCTTTCATTTGTGTGAGTACGAACATGAACACACATTTTGTACCTGCAAAATTAAATAAATGAATTAATACTCAATGAGGAGGGGATGTTCGACATAAATGTATTTTATTTTTTTTGTATTATTGGAAGTTTTCATTAATTAACAAATAATGAAGTTATAGTGTATGTAATAATATTGAGTAATTTTAAAAAATAAGAATAAATTAAATAAAAAACAGAAAATTGAATAGGCTCTGAATACAATGCTGAATGGCCCAGACAAATCCTTTTTTAAAAAATCAATTTCTTGAATCTACTAAAAACAATGAAACTTCCACATTATTAAATTAAATAAATTTAAATATATCCCTCACCTGGCATTAAAGCCATTGGTTCTCTTGCAGGTATCCCAACCACAATAGAACATTCCGTCTTCTCGTGCAATAGTATGTACTTTGGAAACATGATTTCCAAGGTTTTCTACGCCTCCAAACCATTGCAGGCAGCCCTGCCACCTGGAATATAAAGAAATACATTTATAAAAAGATTTTCATTTTATTTTTAGATTATAGATATTTTTAAGGGAGACAATAATAATTTTAATTGAAAGGTCGACCAAAAATATATTGTATTGTTATTACTAAAACTACTAATGCAGAATTCATGGTTGAAAAGAGATATAATGAAACAAGTGTATGTATAATTATAAGTGAGGTATAAAATCAGTATTTCACTGACATCCAGGGATGAAATTTTAATAAAAATAAAAGATAAATATTTTTAAGATAAAAGAGGAAAAAAGGATATGTGTGAGTGAATTAATATATCATAAATTATATTACAAAATATACATTTATATACCTCTCATTTTTCATTTATATTTTACCTCTTTTTTCAATATTCAATTGAAAACATGAAATAAATTAAAAAGATAAGCAGCAATACACAATCAACCAATAATATACAATCATGGTTTATATATAACAGTTGGTACAACTGTTTTTTTCCAAGCTCTAGAAAACTCAGTTGAAGTCATAAACTTTGTTGTTGTTTTTTTAGTACTTTTTAGCAGTGTTTGGTATCAATTACCACCAAATTGATCAGGTAAGAAAAAAAATTCAATTCAATTCTAGCTCTATTAGAAACAATCATATCACTAATGTTAATGCAAAAGGTCCTATGTAACAATTTTTTATGTTAATTCTATTAGTGCTAAAGATAACATTTTGTAGTCTGCAACTGCAATACTTTGGAAAATAGTATAGGAAAATTAAATATGAAATTATACTTATAAATCAGAAAGAAATAATCAGTTTTACTCTTTTGTAAAAAAATGTCAATTTTATATGAGTCCTTTTGCACTAACAGTAGTGATGTGTAATTTATGAGCATATTTTTTTCCGCATTCAAAAGTGCTGAAAATTTAACAGTTATAGGAGCATAATAGGTAACATTATTGAAATTGAACTAAATTTAAAATATTTTCTTCTAGAAGCATGTTTATGTTTACAACTATTAATCTGCAAAGGATAAAGTTTGTTTTTATGATTACTAATAGATTTTTAAAATTTTAATCTCTGAAATTTTTATAAAATACATTTAAATAACAAAATTTTACATGACTTAAATGTAATAAAGTTATAAATGTTGGTATTTTAAAAAATGTAAAACGTGGGAACCAACACTGAGAGGTATTGGCAATTCATTTTAACTGTTTTCTTTATTAATTCGGCGTCTTATGCCCTTATGTCTTCAAATATCTCTTGCCATATGATGAGAATTGTATTAGGACAAATCTGGTAAAAGGATTCTCAAGTAAAACCGAAAAATTAGGATTTTTCTTTTTTTTATTGTCTGATTGTTTAGAATAAACGATTTTAAGCTATATGCAGTATTTAAATATTAAATCATTTTTTTAATTTTAAAAAACATCACATATCGTTGATTAATTGCAAAAATTCTACGTACACTTTTGATGAAATTAAATCTATAAGTTATGTTTTACATGGAGCAGTAGGTAGGTTTGTTACAGGACCTGACAGTAGAACAAGGGTTCTTAAAATCCTAAATTTTGTTAGTTTTTGATTTATAATGCTGTCGCAATCATTTTAATTTGTCTCCTTTTTTTGAATGATTTAAAATTAATAAATCTCCATAACTCTAATGAATTCTGATAATTAAGTTATGCAAGCAATTGAAAACTTATTGAAAATAAAAAAATAACATTTTGATCTATTTCCCTAAGTACTTTTTTTTTATTGAACTGTTATTATTTTTGTACTCATGTTTTGATAAAAATCACCACAAATGTAAATAAATATAGAGTACAATTTTTTTTTAATCGGTCATAAATATTGTTAACTTTTTTTTAAAGCCTATATGAATACACAATATATATACTGTAAAAAAACTAATATAATTCATTTATTTAAGTTTGTTTGTTATAGAAATAAAAATTGAAAATAACTATTTATAACATTGAAGTGATAAAAAATCTGTTGAGGGGTTATCAGCGTAATAGTTATCATTATTAATAAAATGTGTTTCCAATAAAAATTGATGGTCTTTAAAAGTAAATCTTTTTCTGGAAAAATTAGCAAAGCAGGGCAGCCTGAGATTAGTTTGCGATGTCAGCATAGAAAATTAGTGTTACTCAATTAAATATTATCTATTATCTGATTGGCTTTACATTTATTTTTAATATTATTATTTATATTAATATGTTATACTTAACTATTTGCTTTATAAACAAATAAATTGTAATTATATCTGCTTTTGTAGACTATGATTATTATTTCGTTCATAAAAATGTGATTGTGTATATTAATTAAAAAATATTTTGTAAACAAATATGTTTCCTATAAAAGATTAAAAATAAACTTGTTACCACCATTTAAAAATAATATTTTCGGTTTTAATCCAGTATGAAATATAAAAAATATGGAGTATAAAAGAAATATAAAACTTTATATTTTACAATGATATAATTAATTGAATATTCAATAAAATGCCTTTTTTTTTGTGGACTTATGAATAATCCAATTGGCAAAAGATTAAAAATGTAATAACATGGAACATGCATTTCTAAGAATTTTAAAAGAACAAGAGTGTGAGCATTTATCACTCGCCAACAGCAACGCTGTTTGTATGTAATTAAAAATATGTCTAATATGTTTTGAACTAATAATTTTAGGGTACTTTTTACCCCAGGTTCACTAATTGGTGACGAAAACGAATACTTTAAAAAAAATATATAAATAAAATATAGAACCTCTGTACTACTTCATTAATAATAATGAAATCGTATCGATACAAATAATAAATGATGGACAAGATGGATGCTGGTGAGGTATAAGAGCTAATGGATCCAGATGGCGGACCCCCCAGGCAGCCCAGGGTCACCATGGTTCCCATTCAACAACACCTCACGTCGGTTTACTACCGCTCTCCGAGCTACCATCCTTCCTAATCATAGGTCTGATAAGGGAATTGGAATTTTTTTTTTTAAATTGAATATAACCAAACCAATCGTCCAATACCACTAAAACAATGCAAAATGTCCGATTAAAGAATATGTCTATTAAGATCCTTTTATACGGTCAGGTTTCTCGAACGAAGTCGGAATTGTAGTTAACGTATTTTTTTCGTCAGGCTTCCAAAAAAGTAACCTAATCATAACTTCGAGTATTATCATGTTTAGTTATTTTTATCAGAAAAATTTAAGATGAATTGTCATTCACATTTATTGAACTCCATACGTGGGATGTCCCGGTTACGATTTAAAGTAAACGTCAGAGCAACAAAGAAAGGGCACTAGTTACTATTCGCTATACCAAATTGGCTGCCGGTTTCTAGATAAGCCAGAGCACGCAACTGCTAGATCCCCGAAAATAGCCGAACGAGCCCGAAAGAAGATAGAGCCGACCGTCGGCGACCGATCCCCAACTCTTGATAGTAAATTAACCGCCATCTCACATTCGAAAATACCGCCAAAAAAAAGTTGACGTACGCAATGTAATTTCGTACAGAAATTTTCTACCATAAGTTAATTTTAAAATCTAGGATCCACTCTGATATTTTTACTATAAGAAGAATATAACAAAACACAGAGTCAAACTGACAATAAAACAATATAAAATGGCGAGGTACACTATGCTTTGAAAAATAATATTTTTAATGACCACAAGAAGGATTGTAATAATTTAATCAACAATTTCTAAGTTGTTCAAACAATTTGGTATAGCGACTTAATGAAACCCTTCAACACGGTTAAGTTTCTCGACAAATTTGAGTTCATCTCAGAAACTGATAGAAAAATTAAACCAAATGAAAGCTTTTATTTTTTTTTATGGCTATCAACTGCTAAATAAATATTTTTAAGATAAATATCCTTTTATAGAGCAAATCACAGTAATAATGAACACTTGCTGAGGAAAACAATCATTGAAGATTAATAATTACAATTGTGCCCATAATTTCTAAAGACTAAAAAAATGTTGATATAAAAAATCTTAGTCAAAGACTACGTTAGTCATAGATTTTTTTTGGAAGCACGGCGAATCTAATGCCGATCTCTTGGAATAAACTTAAGGTAATTCCTTTTTCCAGTCATGCTTAAATTCTATTTCCGTTCGACGCATTTATACCCATATACGCATGGGGGTATATAATGTTTTCTAGTTAATAAAATATAAAACATATTTTCAAGAAAAAGATATTAAATAGTAGATTAAACTAAGAACTATTAAAGACTAAATTTGGTTAATAAAGTATAAAGAAAAATAATGTCTAAAAATGACAAATTTTGCCAACAAATATTTTAAATCAATTAAAGTTAAATAAAAAAAAATGTTTTATGAATATATTTTTTATAATCAAATGATGTCTATATTTCATAAATGTCATGTACCGAAATAAATAACCAGTATAGAAAATTGTAAATTAAAAAAAATATAATGCTGTTTTGAAAAAAATATTAAATGCCAATTTAATAAAAGTTGATACCTTTTAACAATAGTTCCTAGCCATCATTATATATCTTGTATGTAAAACTATGTACTACTTTATTCAGTGTATATAGGTATATATGTGTTATTTTTTATTTGTAGGTTATTTCATTCTTATTTATTGTAAATATATTATTTCTCTGTACAATATATTTTTATTTATTGTTCATAGAGTGTAAATGTGATCTCTGAACACTATTATAAATGTCCTTTGAGACAGATTGTAATATTTCTAAAAATAAAAAAAATCTTTATTCAAACTAATATTTTAGAATTTTTCTAGTGTTTGGAAATATCAACACTGAATTTCGGAATATCTGATTGTTTATAAGAACTGAATTTGGATTAGATGGAGATCTCTGAATTTTACAACAGGTAAGAAATGTATTTTGTACAGATATTTCAATATATTTTATTATTATATTGAGAGACAGCAGATCTCGTTTAAGTTAAAAATCTCTAAGTTTTCGTAATCCTTTTTAAAATAAATTTATTAGAGATGAATTGATTAAAATGTATTAGATGAATTTGGATTGAATATAATTTTTAATAACATAAAATAAAAAAAAAACAGTAATGCAAAATCGTTTACTGTAAATAAGCTGTATTTAAATCTTTAGTATTTGTATCATGTTAAAACTATATTGCTCAATAATATCTTAGAGCGGCATTGGGAATATAATAAAATTAATTTTATACGCCTAATTATTATTATTGTTAATCTTCAATATATATATATCTCTAAAAGTAATCTTTCGAAATAATAAAGAGATTCATTGTTATACGCGGGATCACATCAAGTCTCGTAAGAATGATAAGGATTTGCCTTATCAATTTGTGTACCTAGGCGTTTTAAACAAACAGGTAGTAATACTCAAGGATACCCTAGAGAGGGATTAAGACATACCTTCGTTGGTAAATAGATTTTTTGTAACTGTATAATTATTGAAAATTCGAGGACGGAATTTCGTACAAAACAATTGGTAAATTGAAAATATTGTGGCCATATAAGATTTTTATTAAAATCTTAAAGAAAAAAAAAAGTTGAAAATAATTAACTTATGTACGGTCTCTTCAAGGATTGAATTACCCTCATAATTTTTTTACTTATTTAATTCATTACGTTTTTCCATTTTAAACAACAGGAGGAGAAACTAACTGGCATAGATTGACATGCATCTGATTAAATACGAATAACAATGTTGTTTTTATATTATTGGATCAAAAATAAACAGTAATAGAATATGAAAATTCGTTAGAAATGTCATAAAAACATTTTATAGCTTGAAAACGAGCCAATCGACACGAAGATTTGTAATAAAACTAAATAAATTGAAAAAATATTCTGGAAATATATAAGAAAAATTAAGTGCCCTTGAAAAACATAGTGCTGAAAAGTAACTAATTTTACAGAAAATAATTAATTCTTGATTAACATTATATCTTTACGAGAGAAACAGACATCAACGCTATAAAACTTCTTAACCCTTAAAGTTTCGAATTATTATTTTTTTTATATTTGTTTAAGTAGTTATTATAATAGTGAATGATTGCTAAGGACATACGAAACACATTTTAAGTATGATGCTCGAACTTCAGTACATAAACATATTAAAAAAAGCTTCGGAAGTTGCAAACACAAAAATAAAACAGCTTGTAACAAGAAAAAAAGTTTAACAATAATTCATTTATATGTGAGGTTCATATCAGAAATGTTGGTTGTCCTTGGGAGTATGAGCGATTCAGTCTTGCGGGTATGGTATCAAACGCGCCGTGGCAACCTGTTGATTTATCCAATGTTTTAAAGGCCTTTAATTTTTTTTAAAATTTTATTATTTACTATTATCTTTAGGCATAAAACGCTTATTTTAATTAAAAGGAATAATCATGAGAATATAACGCAAATTAACTATTCAACAAATTATTATCTCAGCTTCATTTCTAAATTAAACATATTAATTTCTAATTCTGAAAATCTTGCTAGATAAAAAAAAAATTAAAAACAGTGCTACTAAAATAAAATTAGTCTTATAAAATGTTATGCAGTCATACGAAAGGCTAATTTAAACAAAAAAAAAAAATTGTGTACATATCGATATAGAAAAAAAAGTTTTCAAAGTTGAATATTAATAACGAATAATTATTTTTTTCTTATAATGCATATTGATTGTCTTGAGACAAAGAAAAATAAAAAAATAAAAAAAAGAAGATATTTTTACAACCCATAACATAGGTTTAATGAAGAATAAATGTAGTGTAAAGCTCTTAACACAATTATTAATACAATTTTTTAATTTATTATTTTTTAGTTCGTTAAAAGTTTATTTTTAAATTGGTAAGAATAGCAAATGATCTAAAATAATCGAGATGACATGATAAATTTAAAGAATCTCTTATGATTTAAAAAATTGCTGAAATAAAAATTTATAACATATTTTATCTTCTCTTTTATGAAAAGTTATAACTTTACTTTAAAAAATACTAGTTAGGTTAAAATAACTATTTAAAATAATGCAAGTATAGATGATAACAACGGATTCTAAAATAGCCTTTTTCAGCTAAGCACTCAAGAGCTAAGTTATAGTATCTCGAAGAAGCCAGTATGTTTATTAAAGTTGGATTAGATTTTTTTTTTAATTTTGAAAAGCGGACAAGTCGACATGAATTTATTATTTTCACGCATCTGATTGTTTCGGGTTTACTCTCCTACGAAGATCATTTACTTTACTGAACATTTGTTCTTGATATCTCGCTGTCTTGAGAGATATCAGTAACTGCGGAAATATTAGTTACGAATGGCCGTCAAAGGTAGTGCCTAATTAAACACATCCAGTGTCAACTTGAAAAAAAAATAAAAAAATAAACAGTAGATAGATGTTTCCCAATCGTTTAAAAACATTAAGTGCATATAAAACAAATTTAATAAAAATGTTTAACTTTTTCAAAGAGCGATTACAAAATTCAATTTATATTGTTATCGAAAACTGCCAAGAAAAATTATATTAAAGATGAAAACTTAAGATATACTTGATAAATAAAATAGTATATAAATGTTTCCCAATTGTTAAAAATATTAAATGCATGTGAAAAAATTAAAAAAAATGTTCAACTTCGAATTTAAACGATTAAATACAAAATTTAACTAAAACTATTATCGAAATTGTCAAGAGAAATTATATTAAGGATGAAAACTAAGTATGCAATAAATGTAAGAAAAAAAACTTAATTTAAATTTCTATATGTTTATGTTTAAGTAAACTCCACGAATTAAGAAAATAAACAATTAATTTATATCAAAATTATATCAAGGATGAAAAGTTTAAAATACAACTTGAAAAATAAAAAGGTATATAAATGTTTCCCAATCGCTTAAAAACATAGGCATGTATGGAACTCAAATTTAAAAATTGTTCAGCTTCGAATTTTTAACAGGTGATTATAAAATTTAATTTAAATTATTATCGAAACTCTCAACGAATTAAAACGAGGATGAAAACTAAGAATGAAAAAAATATTTAAAAAAAATTAATTTAAATTTCTATATGTTTAAATAAAACAATAAGGGAACTCCACGACTTAAAAAAAAAATAAAGAAACATATACAATAATAGAATCATAAAAATTGCTAATTATATTTTACAAATCTTAACAAAAGAATTTTTTTTAACGAGGTGGTGGTATTTTTAAATTCGGAACGAAACGAGAGAATACCATATCCTAATATTTTTTTTATTTTCTTACACAATTTTTCTTTTATTGAATTCGTTTTAAATAATTCTCAAAGTTTTAAAAAGTGCCTAATAAACGGATTTTTTCCTGTCATAAAGTAAAAACGAAAGGACCGCAGTTTCTTATCTTTGACGATACTAAACGGATCGGCATAGGCGAAGTCCATGTTTGTTAAAAACGGAATCAATAATTGTAAACAACAAGATTACGACAACAAACAAAACAGGACATGTAAATGTTTACAAACAAAATTGACACCTTGACAAGATGAATGAAGAATGAAAACCGGAGGACATACATGGATGTGTGTGTTATGTGCATTGTAGATAAATATATATATATTTAATTTAAATTTACATACCTGCATTGGATTGGTTCGACAGAATACTCTCCACTGGAATTACTGCCATCACTATCATTCTATAAAAAAAAAAAAAAATTAAAATATTAATACAATTAAAGATATAATATAAGTAAGATATGGTAGGAGCAATGTTTAGTATATAGAAACAAACAAAAATAAATACGTACACGGCTACGTTTTGAAGTAGCATTAGCGCTGTCTTGGACGACACCCATCGCTGACGACTTCTGAGTCAGAACTAGGACTACGAAGACGGGAGGTGTGGCCTTTAAAGACTCCGTCGGTGGTGGGGGCTATCTTTACCCCCATCCCAACTACTGATAACGGCTCTTAAATACGAGTATTGTACCTCTCATTGTCTTCTTGCTCTTCTTACTATAAGTATTAATCGGTATACGTATTTGCCATTGATATCCCGTTTCTTGTAAATAATTGTCACGTTCGCGATCATTTATCGGTTATGGGGAAAAACAAAAAATATTTTAAAATCGAACAACTTCATTTAGATTATTCTATGGAATAACTCCGTGTCCGCTTTCCGGATCGCACGCTATTCTTAAATCATTAATTTTAAAATATCGTTAATCATTCATAATGTTAGGTAATTATATTTAAAAATATCATGACTTAACTCTATGAATTAAACCAGATTTAATTTAACTGAGCCTGGAATAATCTGAGAGAAAACTTTTTTTTCGTAAATATAATCATTCAATTAACATTATAAAAAATACACATCCTAAAATATACATTAAAAAAAAATAACAAATCAGAATATAAAGATAAATTAAGCGATCAAATAGTCGGATAGGTTGTAATATATACACACATATATATATATATATATATATATATATATATATATATATATATATATATATATATATTTGTTTGAAGAACCTATTTCTTCCTCTCTTTGAATCAAACCGAATTACTTTTTTTTTTTTTAATGCCTATTACTATTATAATAGGATTTTTTGAAATATTTTCCATTACTCCAGATTTAATAAAGTCTGTTTAAGAAAGTAATTAATTTAATGTCATATTTTTCTATTTCCTTCTTTTTTTTTATTTACTTATATATGAATTATGTTTTACATTACAATAACGAATATTATTATTTTTATGATTATAAAAATCACCATATCTATAAAAGAATGTATAATTAAAAAAAAAAAAACGGTTTCGTAGAATCATTAGTACAAGAAGACTTCGCAAAATTTCGTTAATAAGAGGAATGAAGACGGGATTCGGTTCAACTGCGCCAAATTAGGCGACACAAGAAAACCACCATCTTGAGAAGTTGGAGAAAAAAAAATTAATTATGTTTGTTAGGTTGGTAAGCCCTAGTATTGTTCTGTTATCTGATCACGTGACACCTTCCATATAATCACGTGTTTAAGAGGTTTAAGAAGTTTTGCAATAGCCATTTTCTAGTGAGTACTTCAATATCCAAATGGTGGGGGAACTATTTATCGCAGCTTCAGATTTCATTCCACCTTGATACCATACTCTGAAAACGACAACCCCTTTTTTCATGAGTTCAGATTGGGGGTGTAAAAATGATATCGTTTTTGGTTCGAAGAATTCCAGGACTCTTCCGTCTCTCAACAACAAGAATGACATTAATCACTATAGTAGCCAACTAAAAACGGCCGGGACACAATTTTCTAGATTTACTTGCTTTATTGTAGGAGGTGTACTTTTTTTTTTTCGTAGTTAGTTTTTTCCAGCCCGCCAAGTATTAGCAATCCATTTTTCAAGTAACAGTTATTTACGTAAGTTGCTATTTTATCAACTTTGTCAACGTTGGAAGGAGAGGGGGAGAGAGGAGCAGCACAAGAATTTCATTAATTCACAGTTGAAAAAAAATAGGACCTAGAATTAATGGGTATTAGCATGAAACTGACTGTCGATTGATCAAATACTTGAATATAATAAACAGTCTTGAAATACTTTTTAAAAAATTCAAGAATTGTATACCAATATATCGGAATTTTGAAATATAGCCAATCAGTTTTTAATGGGTTAATTGTTCATAGATTTATAACGAGGAAAACAGATTAAAAATAAGTAATAATATGAATGCTATCATATTTATTTTTTTAACTATGACATTTATCGTACATAGAAAAATGAAAAAAATCCCCAAACCTCTAATACCTGAATTATGAAATTCGTTATAAAATACTTCAGCCACTAAATACCTCACTCTCTTGAAACCTCTACAGTGTTAAAATAGAAAAAAAAAAACAAGTATATTCTGGAACCGATCCTCTCAAAAATTACAACGGTCTGCAGGCAAATAAAAATTATTTCTGGTCAGATCGAGTATATTATATTATAAACTTATATTGCAGATTTCCGTTACTTTAATTCAGCATATATGTTTTGAAGCCTCTTATGTTTTTTAATCAAAAGTTAAAGATGAGCCTCCGTGCTATACATTATAATACAATTTCATACAAGTTCTTCATAGTATATATAAATATGATACAACTTTATATTTTATATTAGTAACATAATGTTACCCCCTTGGGCCGAGGCTGATATTTATGCTCCTCACAATAAGAATTTCATAACTCAATAATATATAATCGTAATCATACAGCTTTAAACAAACACATGGAATCGATTTTGACAATGTTAAAATATTGGAGAAATATAAAATTAAAAGAAAATTTATTTATAAAAAATATGTGAAACAAACATTAAAAGGACTAACTAAAGTTTATTTCAAATTTACGAAATCAAATTATAAAAAAAAAATCCATAACAGATTTAGTGCTTACTCACCCCACACCTTAACGTACTTTGTTTTTATTTATTTTTCTTTTAGTTTAGTGTCTGTCTGAGTTTATTTCAAGAAAAATTTAGTGCTGGGGCAAATTATGAAAGTAGGTTTTATCGTCTTCATATTTTTTTTTTAATATGAAATTAAATTTAAAATTATATAATTATAAGAAATTATATGTATCTGGTTCCATATACAACCTAAAATGTATTATTTATATAATTTTAGACGTTAAGGGGGGGGGGAGAGGGTAACACATTATCCCTGAAATAAACAAAACAACTTTAATAAAAGTCATTGAAAAAGTTGGTAGGTTCAATTTTGTTTTAACGATTTCAATGTGGACATAAGAGTCGGTACGGCTCCTTGAAGAACTATCGGCTCCTATGATGTGAAGCCCAAAAATGTACCGCTTTGGAGTGTAGTTACAATTCTTGCCACCTTGGTTTGAAGGTTGAGATGGAAAACGTACCACGTGTATAGGTTTAAAAATTAAAATATTTCTTTTAATATTAGTCTTCAACGAGCTAAAGGTCTATTGAAAAGGAAGATGAGAGGAGGGATGTAATCATGTTAATGTATTATATTAATACATAATTAATATATTATCTCTTGGACACTTATGATAAAATAGAAACAAATTTTTGATATTTAAAAAATATCCAGAATGGCTTCTATACTCTCACTAATTTATATTATAATTTCTATACTAACTACCAAGGCAATTCTAAACCAAACAAATAGGTCTTGAGCAGCTACAATAATGGATTAGTATACGTTCTGAGATGCCTGTTTCTTATTTCTCAACTATTAAACTGGAGATATATTTTCCAATGGGACAAGTTAGTTTTTAAATAAACTGTTACTTTAAATTTTGGGTATTGAATAGACTACATATATCTTGATAATATTATATTATATAGAAAAATAACCACATTTCACTAACGTCGTATCTGCTTCGAATGCATTAGTGAAAATCATAGCAATTTAATGTGAGTTCTCACTGGGCTATACTTCCATCCTTTAATTCCTATAAAAACCTTGACAAAATTCATTGGAAAAATTGTGAGGTTTCAAAACAGATGATTTCTCACGAAATCCTTAACATTAGATGGTATAATAAGAAAATTTCTAGACGTAATAGTTATCGGGGTAACATTGTGTTTGCATTATCAATAAATTAGATTTTAAATAAAGAAAAATTAGTAATTATTCTTAGCTAGATCATAACTATTATGAAATCCTTTTAAATAATACATTATTACATAAATCCTTATATGTATAATAATGGCATGTGAGTTCACATCTCACAGTAGATTGTATGTTGTAAGTATAAGTTGACAGAGGAACAATTTTAATAAGAATCAAAAATAAAAACATGATAATATTTTTGAAAATTTGAATTAACTTTTTTTTTGTTCATTTATTTATTCACTAATATTACATTGTCAAGTGAAGAATGGTTATAGTGAAGTAAGACTACATTCATGCCATATATATAGAAAGTAAAAAATAAACAGAAGCAAAATAACTATTTAAAAGTATATACCTGAATTAATTTTTATTTCTTTTTGGACGAACATAAGGTAATAATAATACATAATTTTTTTTCAATAAAATATAATATTTTTTGTCCAGTTCTTATTTTTTTTTCGTTAAAAGTATTACATGTTAAATAAATTTAATAAAATAATTAAAAACAATTTTTTGTTTATGTCGAGATCCGCATCTGAGCTCTTCGAATCACCGTAGCTGTTTACAAATATTAAATAATCAATAATCAACAGTCGGATAATACTATTATTATTATTATACTATTACTATAATTATTTTTATTATCCATTTTATTATTTTTCTTATCTTTTTTAATGTATTTTTACAATTTTTTAAAATATTATTTCAATATTTTAAATCAATATTTAACTGCCGGCGAATAAAATTGTTACTACTAATGTTAACTTTTATTTTAATTTAATTTGTGTTTAATATTTGTAAAAATCCTTTTATCTATACCTTATTCTTTACATATTCATTTTTCTAATTTTGATACCTTGAATTTTCTCATACTTTTTCTGTGTGGAAATCATTGTTTTAAATAAATATGATATATTGTCTATAATTTTTATTTTCACTTCTCCGTGTATAAAAACACCTAATATACAAAAATATTTCTATTCGAGGTGGGTTGGTAAGTCAAATTTGTTGATTTTTCACATCAGATTTACAGATTTTCCTTATAGAAATCGCTTGCTTCTTCCAATAAAAAACATGGTCTCTATAAAAAGTTCGAAGTGCATAGGTTCGTTTTTTTTCTCTCATATAATTACAGTAATGATTTTGATTATTCTGTTGTTGTTTACGTCATGAGAAATACCAGCCTAACTTAAGATAACGTGTAGAAAGAATAACCGTTTCCTAAATATTAACACAATAA